CAAAGGATTAGACTAAGTGTTGGGAGATGGTTCGCTCTCTATACCGCAGCCTATTGCCTGATCATCTATTCACTAGGACTATATATATTTAATTGGAAGAGGAGAGAAAGAGACATTTGGCCCAATCAGAGGGCGATCTCCCTATTAGCTCCTATTCAGCGACGCACGGTGGGGGAGGGAGGAGGTTGAATACCATTAGACCCTCCCCCTGTTTCTGTTATTGCCGTAATAGCGGCTGTGTCTCTCTGCCTAATTGTCTCGTTTGCTTCATCCCTATCGGCTCTGTGTATACAAAGGGATTCAACAACCCACCGAAAGATCATATCCAATTGTAACAATACTTGTTTAATTTTTGGTACTCGAATTGAACTGATTATCAAGTTTTAAGGTGATTAGATCGATCGCGAATCGTGAATATTTACAATTCAATACGCACTGTGTTAAATTTGGATTATACATGCTTATTTCATAGTAATAGTAACGATTCCAGGATTTTTAATTTTATAAGGGTTAATTTTTTTTTTTAAATAACAGTAATTACTAAAACAATAGTATGAAGAATGAAGAGAAGAATAGTTGGGGTGCTCAGTCAAAAAAGGAAGGCAAAAATAAATTATAATATTTATTTTTTACATCTGCCGACGTTTCGACCTGAAGTTCAGGCCATCATCAGGGCTAAGAAAATAACCAGATAACTTACTTTCTAGTTCAAACTTCGTCCGATAACCGTTACAGATGACGCCACCTCCACATCCCTTCTCTCTCCATCTTCTTTGTAACGACATCATTCTCACTTTGACATTTAAGGAGAAAGGTACTACTTCTTTTATTTATTTCTTATTTCAGCTTTCTCAATTTCTTCCCTCCTTCCTTTCATTCCTTTTCTCTGTTGTTAATTCTCTATTATATTATACATTGTCTGTACATCTTGATAGACTTTACAATATCTCAATTTTCTATCAAACTACTCCCTTCTCAATGTTTTAATTTTACTATTTATTTTATTCTCATTTCTTATATAACTTTATATTTCTTTTTTATGTTTTTACATTTTATTCTAAGATTCCCAATGTAACACTTCTGTCACCCCCTTCTTGATTATGCCTACTTCATCATTCCACACTATGTAACAGTCTGTATTATTTATCTCTTAGTTCTTAGTCATTATTCTAACAATTTTATTTTACTTCATATCTATCTACTTTATTTTTCTTTTATTTAGATCTATTTTATCTAGATCAAATCTATTTTATTTTCTCATTATTTTTTTTTGTTATTATCTTTTTTACCATCATTACTTAAGTTTCTCATACCTTGTTATCTGGTTATTTTCTTAGCCCTGATGATGGCCTGAACTTCAGGTCGAAACGTCGGCAGATGTAAAAAATAAATATTATAATTTATTTTTGCCTTCCTTTTTTGACTGAGCACCCCAACTATTCTTCTCTTCATTATCCACGACAGTCAACCAATTACCAATTATAAAACAATAGTATGAATGAATGAAAATAATTTTATGATTTATGTATTTTTTATGAATTAGGTTAGAAAGAGAGAGGAGAGAATATGAGGAGTGAAAAGATGTATAAGGGGAGAGAATGGAGAGAAAGGGTATAGAATGATAATAAATGAATGAAAGAAATAGTAAAAATAAAAAAAATAAATAAAAAGGAAAGAAAATGAAAAAAAATATACAATATATATATATATATATATATATATATAAATATTGTATACTATGCTCATACATATTGTTAATCCTATATAATTGTATATTAATTTTTAAAATTGTCTGTAGGGATTAATAAGTATGCTGTGTTGTTAGCAACCCAATGTAATTGGGCAGCATCATTTTATTTTATTTTATTTTATTTTATAAAGTGATTCTCTCTCTTTCTCTGGAAGTAGTGTTCCTTTAGAACTAAGTATAAAAAATTTGGTGCGTTGCGGGCATCACACAACTTTCACTTACTTCTTAGCAGAAATAAGTATTTTCAGACAAAGGGTAAGTGAAAGTAAAAATTATAGACGCTATTTTTATTTGTACAAGTACCCTTATATATAAAAATTTAAATATTTATATAACTGTATGTATACAATTAAATGTTAAAAAATACCAACAATCGCATTTATGAAAACCACATATGTATATTTAGAATAGAATAGAAAATTGAACTTTATTCTGGGACTAAGTCCTCTTAGAATAACAAAGATGAATTAATACAAATCTGGCCAAAAACTAACTTATAGAAATTCTAACATCATATAGATTATTTAAAAAGTAGTATGTAACCACTAAGAAAAAAAAAAAAAAAAAGATATATATATATATATATATATATATATATATATATATATATATATATATATATATATATATATAAATGAACAAAAAATCTTCTCAAAATTACTTATTATTGTGATGAAAAAAAAAAAAAAAGAAAAGAAATTACATACCTATATATACACAACTGCATAATTTATAAACAATAGGCTATCTAATAGAAAAATAATTTAATACAAAATGTAATAATATCTGCAGTGATTCATATAATAATATACAAACACTAAGATGAAATAAAATCTCAGGATTACTTGTGGTATAAAGGAAAAAAAAAAAAGGAACTATGTATACCTACATACTCATATTGGTGCACGGAGAGACAAAAAGTATAAAATATAAACATATATACATGAAAGAAAAAGCACAACCTGAGGCGAAGAGAAAAACATATAAATAAATAGAGAAATACAAATAAATAGTAAAAATAATAGTAAAAAATCATTACTGTTTTATGTTAAAACAGTAGGCACCACCATTTACTTCTCACAAATTCAGTTCATAAAATGAAATTTATGGTTGTGAATCGTCTGTTTGGGATGTAAGGAGATATTGGAAAAGGAGGTATTTGAAGATTGACTGTGAAGAGGCATGACGGATGTTATATGGCAAAGAATTCCAATAGGTGACGGAGCGGGCTAAGAAGGAACGTTCATAGGTTTTTGTCCTGTGGAATGGAATATAGAGGTCAGAAACACGGGATCTCGTTTTTATTGAGTGGACTAAAGGTTTAGGCTGGAGAAGACAGTAGATATAGACAATATTTACATAATATCGTCAGAGTTCGTATTATATAAGGCTCATGTTATCTACGGAAACAAGTTCCAATCTTTCGGGTGTGCTCGTATTCCTTTGGTTTTCTAATTACAACTATTCTCCGTTGCCTTCTATTATTTTTCCTTTAGTTAATTATCAAATTCTTTCATATTTTATATTTAACTATCTTTTATATTACGGATTAATGTGAAATGGTCAATTGTTTCAAATAAAAAAAATTAAAGGTAGTTTAGAAGAAGCTAATATTGAAAATTAGCCATTTAAGCCCTGTTAGAGAACATCAATGAGAATAGTAACTACATTTTATTTAAAACTGCTTAATTTTAAACTGATATAATGAATTTAATCAAAATAGTTAGGGCCATTTTCGAGAAAATGGTAAAAATGTGTTTAGTCCATGATATAAAATGCCACTTCCGGTTAGCCGATTTTGACAAAAAAGTTGCTGTTTTTCGATTTTGAGCGAGAAGATTCACAGGCACACATAAAATACGATTAAATATTTACAGGATGATTGGTAATAAAATAAAAGTACTGATAATGAAAAGATATAAAAACGTACATAAATATAACATAAATTAACAAAATATCAATAAATCACTAAATAATCAGAGTATCGGGGATTACTTTGAGATTCTCACGACTTAGATTTTTAAGTGCATTTCATGATCAACCAGATTGGGAATGAAGGAGGCGTTTGAAGAGGGGAGATTGGAAAGAGGACACTAACTTTGCGTATCGAATATCAGAAGGGATATAATTCCAGATGGAGACAGCTTGAATTGTCAAACGCAGCAGTCCGGTTAGGAGGAGGATAGAGGTCGTACGTACAGGATCTGGTGGGACGGAATTGAAAGGAGCATTTTAGTTGTAGGATCTGTAGAATATACGAGGGTCACCGAGTTCTAATAGCCTATATACTAATAGCGATAGGACGGATAAAGCCATTTCAACTCGGTGCACAAGTTGATCCAGAATTAATTTTTAGGGGGGTTTCAGGCCGAAAGATTTTTTTTTTTCATATATATACCGATAACACATACACACAAAAAAGAAAGATACTAACTACCTATATGAAATTATATTTAAGCGATTTGAGGGATTCTTGAAGTCCTATTAAATGTAATTACAAGAACAATAATACTTTAAGAGATAATATTTTGGGAGAGGGCTTCAGACCGAAATTTCCTCCCCCCACTAGCGGATCCAGGATTTAATTTGGGGGGGGGGCTTCATTCCGAAACCTTTTTTTTTCATAAAAATAACGATAATTAATTAGGAAAAACAGAAAAAAAACTAACTATCTATATGAAATGGTGTTTAAGTTATTCCTTAAGTACTTTTAAATGTAATTACATGAACAATATTACTTTAAGAGGTATTTTAAAAAAAAATTTCCCATAAAACATGGTTATATATTTCCATTTTGGGGAGGGGGGCTTCAGCCCGAAAGCCCCCCCGTAGATCCGCCCGTGCCTCTCCCATTGATCCACCTGTGACTCGATGTATTATTAAATGGCGCTCGATGTAAAACTGGTAATATGCATATCCCTTGAGATCCTGAAGTCAAAGCGTATTGAACAATTCATTAGACGTTTAAGTTTAGTTTCTTTCCCTAAATAGTACTGAATCCAAGACACTTCATGGGTTTTAGTGGCACAGGTTCTTTTTTTTTATATCGTTATATTTTTTATATGCGGATATAGTCGCATTTCCCAAGACAGGAAGGACAGCGCTGATCTTGGATCCAACTGTCCGCTTTGAGAGCAATGACCTCGATCAGGCGGGTGAAGTGGAAAGGGAAAAGAAGAACACGTACGATAAATGTATCCCATTCCTAAAAGATAAATTCCGTGAGACCTTCGGAGAGAGAGAGTTCACCATGAGAGGCCTCTGGTTTGGGTCTCGCGGAACTATCCCAAAAAGAACAAGGAGCTTCCTCGAGGAACTAGGTGTCGACATTAAGGACGTAGCGAGGTTGGCTGAAAATATAGTCCTCGACTCCCTGGGAATCATTCACCACCACGTGCATGGCTAGCCTGAGAGTTTTAATTTATGTATTTATTTATTTAATGAAGAATTGAAAACAAATAGAGATAAAGAGAGAGAGAGAGAAGTGAGAGAAAGGGAAACTAAATGTTAAAAAAAAATTATAATAAAAAAATGTATATATATATATATATATATATATATATATATATATATATATATATATATATATATCAATTTTGCTAATATAAACTAACACTTCTGTATATTTATATATAAGTTCATTTATTGTCCAGAGGATAAAAGAGTATGCTGTGTATATAGCAACCCAATATAATTGGGCAGCAAGCTTTTATATTTTATATGAAAATAAAGTGTTTTTCTCACGAAAGTGGTTTTTTAATGGTTTGGAGCTGTGGTTTTAATATATTGGAGTGTGTCTGTGGTCTGGAGTATTATTTTTTAATTCAAATATGTTTTGTAGGCGCATTAGCGTAATTGGATATTTTAGCAGTTTTATTGCACATTTGGAGATATTTTCACTGCATATTTTCTTTTTTATTACTGTATATAAGACGTTTTTACTTTCACTTACGTATATATGTAATATATAGAAAGGGTAAGTATTGCGATCGAGAAAATTTTGGAATCTGAGTTTTCAACGGAAATACACGTTTTGAGGTACCCTGAGTCGAAATAACCAAGTCCCGAAAAATGGTCTGTGTATCTGTGTGTTTGTATGTTAGCAGTCTAGCTCAAAAACGAAAAGCCGTACGAAACTGATATTACGTATTTAAGATAGTTATATGCCTTAGTTGTGACGGCAACTTTTTCCTTAAAATCGGCTAACCGGAAGTGCCACTTTATATGAAAGCTGAAACACATTTTTACAATTTTCTCAAAAACGGCTCTAACGATTTTGATTAAACTCGGTGTATCATTGTATAATTACGTGGTCTTTAATATCATTGAAGTCTTATCCCCGTTGATGTCACTTTACAGGGCTTAAATGCCCAATGTTCATATATGTCTTCCTCTAAAGTACCTTTAATATGGTTTATTTTAAAAAGTTAATCATTTCGCATTATTCAGAGTTGTAAAAAAATGCTACATATAACTTTTGAATGAATTTGAAAGTTAAGAAAGGAGAAAAAAAATAAAAATGCAGAAAAACCTGCGTTGCTATAGACTGTAGCGCCTAAACGAATTTATCGATTTCAATGAAACCGCTAAAATCATTTTCTCGACAACCTTTAAATTTATCTATATAACATACTTCAACGAAAAGAAGCTGGGAAAAAAGTTACGAGGGATGGGAGGGAGGGGGATTCCGAATAACTCAAAAAGTATACACTTTTTTGTTGATATTGTATGTTTTTTTTTTAAAGTTTATGGAATTTCCTAAAAAAATCGTTAAAATTGGACAATTAGGAGGAAAGATATGGCCTCTAGTTTTTTTCCTGAAGAGGCGAAAATTTGGATAAATTTAAAATATACTTTTTTAACTGTTGAGACTAAAAATACCTTTTTTCTACAGATATTTAATAAAGTATCATTACTAAGAGCATCTTTAATAAGAAATAAGTACCTAAATTTATATCTTTATTCTCAGTTCTATATTTCAACACTGCAATCACCACCTCCGGAATCAACTTACTCACTGTCTGTATAGATAACTTTTTCAACTAAAAATATCACTAAAATGACATCACTCAAAAATTTTGAAATTGGAGTTAGTCATTCTGTGGTTTATAAAAGCAAAGAAAGTTGTGTGGTTTATAAAAGCAGATGGAGTGACTAGATTTTTATTGCCTACCGTCGATACATTAAATAGACATTTTGTAATTATAATGGTCTTAATGACTTGTTATCTGTAAGCTTTAAGCTTTAGCTCTTTTTAAAATGCACTTCAAAAAATTTTATAATTGGCCAGCATTGCCAGAAAATAATTTCAAGTGAAAGTTGTGTGCTGCGCGCACCAGATTTTTTTTAAACTAGAAAGTGGTTTTTTAATAGTTTGGAGCTGTGGTCTTGATGTGTTGAGGTGTGTATATGATCCGGGTTTTTTTTTTATTTCAAATATGTTTTGTAGGCGCTTTAGCATAATTGGATATTTTATCGGTTTTACTGCATATTTTCTTTTTTATTACTGGATATTAGACGTTTTTATATTGTATATTACACGACATATTTGTCGGTTTTTACTGCATAAAAATCCGGGCCTTACTTATTACTGTATATGTGACCAGTGTAATGGAGAATACTCAAGCCGGTCTAATATGAAAACAGAAATAGCCGGATTAATGAGGGAGGAGGAATAGAGGCAGATCCGATCTGAAACATTTGCCGGACTAAGCAGCCAATAAGGGCAGGCGATAGATATGATGATGAAGGAGCCGCAGGACAAAGAGCTCACGCGGCGGTAAACAGATTTCCTAACGAGGTCTCCAGCCGGGCACCTCGCCTGGCCAGATGCCGCAGATTCGATTCTCGCCTTTACCAGATGTCGGGTCTGGAATTTCCGCACAATCCAGGATAAATTGGCTGGGGATTGGATAGGGACAGGGAAGTCGCAGTCGCAGATTAGCTATTTAGGATGTCGGACTGATTTGTTGAATGGTATCCGGACCGAAGAAACAATTATGTAAATAAGTTTTAAGGGATATATATATTTGATGATTCCAAAAGAGTTTATGTTCAATTGTTTCGTCGGTGATGTGCCATATTATGAAAGGAAATTTTATTCTGGAACATTTACCTCCCTAAGAATCATTATAATGAATAATTTAGTGACATTTGTCTACCATACAAAGTTAATCATCTTCTTGTTGTTAATTAAATTACATTGCTATCGATTCTTGAAATTAAAATAAGAAAGACGCAAGTTAACATTTAAATGGACCACCTCCAGACGCAGCAGTCGTAGAGAAGAGGTCGTCCTCACGCGGCTGAGGATCTGACGTACTAGAATGAAACACCTCTACCTCATAACAAAACATCTTATCCCCAGGTGCCAAAAGTGTGACCCGACATTAACTATAAAACATGTTTTGGAAGAGTGCCCCTTTTACACCCCAAGTTTAAAAGATCTCGGAATACTTCAGAATATATCAGCATCCCTGGGAAATCAAGAAGAAATCGTAAAGTTATCAAGTTCCTGGATAGTGAAAGACATAAAAAACATATATGATAAGCTTATAACTAATGATCCTTTGCAGATTTATTATTATTATTATTATTTTTTAAATGTTCATTTGTTTATTAATTTCAATTCATTTATTGATTTTACTGCTATTTTTTAAAAGTTTATTTATATATTTTATCTTATTATCTATAAGTGTCTATTATTATTTTTATTTATTTATTTTATTCTATCAATCCTTTTATTTATTTTTTCATATCTTTTTTTTTTTTACTAACCACCTAAACAGTATAAAAGTAGTGTTATTTAGTTAATAGGGCGCTGATGACTTGGATGTTTTGCACCTAGACATCGAAAAAAACGAAACGAAACTAATATTTAAATTATATGTAGATGTTTAAATATAAACAATGTTTAATATATAGATATCTGTATAGTAACAGTAAAATGAGATGACAGCTCTAAAAATCATAAAAATATTACTCTTACATATATTCGGAAGATTGGTTGCTGAGGCGATGGAAAATTTAAATGGCTTTTAAATGAGGTTAAGGATGAGGATTTCCGTACGAAAGTAGTTAGGGAATTTCAAAATAAGGTAGCACGTATAAAAGATGATTTTTTGAAGCACCTCTAAGAAGGAATAAACAGGTTTGTTGGCTGTGATCTCGTGTGGAACGAATGAACAGAGGAACAAGAAGTAAAGAGATCAAGAAGGTAAGAAGTTTTTTTTTGTTGCAAAGGTTCGGAAAAGGAAAACACCTTGGAAATATTTCCGTCGGGAAACTGGATCGTACAATTCATAAGTCCCTTTAATCTGATGTCGAGTCCATGGTATACCTGCCTTCCTTAGATTTCGTGCAATTTTATGTAAATTTATAGCAATTTTTACTCAGAATTTGTAAACAAAAAAAAAAGTCTTATTTGTGATTGTGTTTATTTCCATTAAAGTGCAATCAGTTTGTGTTAGTCTCGATTTACTTCTTAAATATCGAATATGTGTTAACTTCACGCATATTTTTATATTCAAGCTTAATTAGTTTTGTTCTCACTGAAGAAAAGTATTGGTCTCGTTAACTCCGAACAAACAACAAGTTCAATTTTTCCTATGGATTTTCTAGTTCCATCCATTTTAGGAACTGAAAACGTACCTATTAAGTATATATCACTACTAATAGTGCAAAAGGTCCTATGTCAAAATTGTCAACTTTTGTTCTATTTGTGCTAAAGGTGACATTTTGTAGCCTGCAACTGATATAAGCAGTCTGCTACTAAGGAAAATAGGAGAGGACAATAAAATATGAAATTATACCAATAAAGCATAAAGAAATAATATAGTAAAATGCATGTTCAGTATGCATTGATATATATTTTTTTTAAAGAATAATCAATAGGGAATCTTCAAATGTGGCATTTTAATATTAGCTGATAAACGAAATACATGGATATCAAACCCGCGAATGTTAAAGGGTAACTGTATTTCCGAATCGGCTTCTCCTATAGATTTTATTCTCTTAAGAAAAATTGTATACCTTGTAATATAGATATATTTTAGCCAATGAGACGGTGAGGAAGCTGTACTGACCTTACTTGTTAGAGGTTTTTAGACTGTTGTAGTATGATGTGCAATTTCCGTTCTGTGTTATGTGCATTTTCATCAATATGTGCATTATTTTGATGGCAGAATGGCGAAATGTGTAAAGGTTTGGGAAGGCTAATAGTCAATTTAACCCACACACAAACACTAGAAGAAGTTGTTACTCTAACTGTATCAAGGATTGTTCTTCATCCTTTTCATTATTTATATTTCTTACCATTTTTTATTTCTATTAGTTTTATTTTTTCATTTATAATATATTTTGTTATGGATGAAAATATACAGAGTGATTTATAAAAAAAATATCTATTTCTATTTAAAAATCGAGAGATATCTATTTGTACTGATGAGAATAGAGTTCCATAATGAAATATTGAATAAAAATAAAAACTTAGCATTTATTGCATATCAAAATGCAACCTATTGTATGATTATAACAATAGGTTGCATTTTGATAGCCTTCATATTTTTAAAAGAGCCTTATAGTTTTATTAAAAATCTTTGTCTTTATCATTACTGAAGCCAATATTCCAGGAACAACACTCTATCAGTAAGGGTAACATATCTTATGTTTGGCCTTTTCTCTTTAACTACTTCGATTTATCCTAAAATATTGGTTTTATTTTTCTTCAAGTATTATGTTTTATCTTTTTTTTCAACTTACTTTGATGAAGGAATCGGAAATTTGAACAGTGTTGTCCACTAGAGCCTTTCTCTAGTAGTTGACAGGCCTGTACTCTCTTAAATTCAAAGAAATATACAAAATATAAAGGGTCATAAAAATGAGACCATTTACTGCTCCTTTGTTAAAAAAAAAAGGTTAGTAATTTGGAATTAATATAAAGCAAAAATAGGTTTTTCTACTGCTAAAAACAGTTTCTCTACAGTGACCAGCGTTTAAAGATACATTTAGAAATAGAAAATAACTTTATTCTTGAACAAAGTCTCTTTAGAATAACAAAATAGTACAAAATTAAAAGACTACATCTAGCCTAAATAAAACAATAACAAAAAAAGAAAAAAGAAAGTAAATATTAGTTGAACAAGCTATATACAAAAAATAAAATAAATCTATATACAAAACACTTAAAACTATGTACAGTAAGAGAAATTATAATTATACACTTTTGAGAAACAATAAAATAAAAAATACATTGAGTTCTTTAAAATGAGCACTGTGTTTCTGCTAACAAAGGAAAGAGGAATCTGACCATATAAAATGTCAGAGTATTTAAATAATGAATAATATCTAAACACATCATTATCTTATTGTAACTACAGGTACAGATTTAATTGTATAAGAATAAAAATAATAAAAAACAAACAATAGATGCATTCAGTGGCATTAAGAGTAGGAAGATATAATATCCCTAGTGAAGTTTACAGTATGGAATAGTACTATCATTTGATGATGAATGATATAATAAAAATGTATAATATCAAAAGCTTAGCAAGTATCTGACTGTTTTTGGGGGAACGTCGAATTTTGATAGGTAGAAAATTCCAGAAATTGACAGCACGAGCAGTGAAGGAGTTTTGAAATGAGGCAGATCTGTGAGAAGGGATGTAAAGGTCAGAAGGTCGAGATTTAATTTAATTTAAGTCGAGAAATGAGATGAAGTTAGTCTTATAATAAGTTACAGGTAATTTTTGTTATTATCTATTTTAAACTGAAGAATAAAAAATTTATTTCACAAAATTACATCCTTGTTCTCATCCCTGTCAGCTATATGAACATTCCAGATCAAACAGTGTTAGTAACTTTAAATTTACAATATTTTTAAATATTGATTGATGTTTCTTGGATTTGAAATGTATCTGTGTAAGATGAGAAGTATTTCTATAAGATGGACACCAGAAAAATACAATAATATTTTTATTTAAGTTTTTACATGTAAAATTTCAAAGAAATTTTCATAAGCATGTCAGTTACTGGTGCATTTACCATACTAAATTTTAAGTTTCATTGTCTAGTTAAACAATACAGGAGAATAAGTCGTTTGGATTAGAAAAGAGAGGAAAAATAAAACAAAACAAAACCATGGCAGTAATTCCATAAACTTATTTAGCAGAGGAAATAATTATATTACATCTTTCTGACAGTAACATATGTATGTTTATTTGTTGTTCTCTCTTTATTCTTTAATTCACAACTGTCAGTCGTCAATGGTGACCAGCGAGAGTCTTTACAATTAATAAATACAATAAAAGAAAGGACATGATAAGTAGACATTAGAGATTACCAATTGGCTAATCTTTGGTCTTATTTCTTGTTATTCCAGAAGATCTCTCATCCAGTTCCTACATTTTTTAAATTTGAATATGATTTAACAATACTTAACTTGAAGAGTACTTTTCATTCCACTTAATGTAAAATTATACCGAAAAAAATCGATTCAATATTAATTTATTCAACACTTGATTCCTAATGCAATGTTATGCCAAAAGGCCTGTTGGCTCAAGTGTTCAACCACTTCAAGCTGGATGGGAATATTCATAAAAAGCAACAGACAGGCTATCACCCTTCAGAATAGTATATCACAATACAATACAAATAAACCAAAATTATTAATTATAATATAACCAAATTATATATTTTATTTAATTATTTAATAATATACCCATTTTCTAGTCATATCTTTTAGGTACAAAATAGTAGGTAACAGTAGGTATAAAATAATTGTACGGTGCCATTTTTAAAAGTTTTTTTATAAAATATTAGGCCAAATGTACACAGTTTTTACATCCTGTATTATTTATTCGACGTTTTGGCTTCAGGACCCATTTTCAAGATCCTGCAAACTAATTTTAATTCAGTTGTTATACTTCAAAATACATCGTTATAAAACACATATTAATTCAACAACAATCAGTTATATAAATAGTCCAAATTTTATTTTATAAAAAAATTATTTTTTTTTTATATCATAGCATTTTGGTTAAAATTAATTTAAAATTTATCATCTACCTGCCATACACCGCTTCATAAAATTTCCTAAAATGTAATAATATAATATAATTTATCTTTTTCTCATTCTTTTTTTTCATCGAATGTTGTTGTTTTTTTCATTTCTAAAAGTTATAATAAATAAATAAATAATTAAAATAGAATTAATTATTTATAAATTAAAATGAATAATTAAAAACAACATTCGATGAAATAAAAGAATGACAAAAATACAAATTATATTATAATGATAGATTTTAGGAATTTTTATGAAGCATGGCCATGGTAGGTAGATGATAAATTTTACATCAATTTTAACCAAAATGCTGTTATAAAAAAAAATAATAATTTTTTTATAAAATAGAATTTAGACTATTTATATAACTGATTGTTGTGGAATTAATGTGTGTTTTATAAAGATGTATTTTGAAGTATAACAACTGAATTAAAATTAGTTTGCAGGATCTTGAAAATGGCTCCTGAAGCCGAAATGTCGAATAAATAATACAGGATGTAAAAATTGTGTACATTTGGCCTAATATTTTATAAAAAACTAAAAAAAACTAATATATCAGATTCCTAAAAATGTTTTGATAATGAAAATTAGTTTTATATTTTATCAATGTTGGATAAATAGAAGAAGATAAAGGAGAAATTAACCCATCTAAAATAATCATAGAGAAAAAATATGTACCTATTAGTAGACCTGTAGACAGTGTGGCAATACCTGTGTTACGGTGTCAGTGGCAAACATAGTTCCCATGTGTAATATCACTGCTGCTGAAAATCCTATATGCCAGCCAGATATGGCTAGGTTGGGAGAGAAAAAAAAAAATAAAACTGTGGTAATACCTGATTTACTCTTTGAAAAATTAGAATACTAACATTTTAGAACCCGCAGAATCTCTGTGTCATAGATTTTTGGTTCCTATATTTTCTCCTTATATATTTGTTTGCATTGCTTTAGTTTAGCCAGAAACCATATCCAAGAAAATGGGTCACAAATTAGAAATGTCCTTCATGGTCCATTTAGTGTTCGAGGAACAACCATCTGTCAGTAAGGACATCATACCTTAGTTTTGTCTTTTCCTCTTAAACTACTTTGAATTTTTGTTTTATTTTTTTAGAGTGTTTTGAGATTATCTTTTATAACTTATTTTGATAATGGAAATGGAAATTTAATGGGTGTCAACTACTGGAGTCTTATATGAGACCTTCAGCCAGTAGCTGAATATAGAGATATACTTAAAACAACGAGTCGTAAAAATGGGAACATCCACTATTCTCTCATTAAAAAATAAAATATGTTAATGATGTTGGTTAAATACAAAGCAAAAAATAGATTTTCCTATAGCCAAAAACAGGTTCTTGACTAACATTCATCGATAAATTTAAGTCAGATAATGCAAGAGGTTAGTTTTATGATAAATTTTTGTTAATATCTATTTTAAAATGAAGAATATAAAATTTCAAGTCTTTATTTCACATAATTACATTCTTGTTCTCATCCCTGCCAACTATAGGAAAATATTTACCATTGTATTAAATGAGTTATAATGTATTATAAATAACAAAAGCCAAAAGGTGTTTCCTGTAGCGTAGGCCAAGTAAATCAGCTTTCCAACTGTTGTATTAGGAGGACCGGAAAGTATCTTATATATTCTAACATTAAATTCAAACACATATATTTCAGGCGAGATTTTATTTATAATCATTGACGGAATCACCCTCATTATCAACAACCTTTTGCCATCTACTCTGCAAATTTTCTCTGCAGGATCGACATAAATCAATTGGTTTTGGAGCAGCAAAATATATAGAGATGGCATTTTAGATATCATTCAAATTTGCAAATATTTTGCCTCTTAGTAGAATGTGATAAACAAAGAAAATCTTTATTTTAATCCATTTAGAACACTGGCTTAAAATTGTTACCAGAAATTATCATTTTTTAAAAAAATAAAATTCAAAAAACATGTTTAACATTGCAATAATGAACCAAACATTCTTATTGATTATATATATTATATCATGGATATTAAATATAATGAGAAAAGCCTAATTACTTATTATTTTTACATATTTATAATTGACTTTACCCATTTAAATTCTTTACTCAAATTAGAATTTTCTTCATTATTTTAAAATTATGTTTAAATTTTATAACTATATTTATTTAAAAAATATATTATTATTAGAATCACTGCATGTAGGTCTCAGATCCTTATCATGTTTATGTACCTTATTTATTTAGTTGTATACAGCTACCAAATGTACATGGATTTGAGGGACTTTTTTCAATTTGATATTTATTTCAATTACATAATCAATAGAAAAATGTCTGTAAAAGATTGTATTGTTTCAGGTGAGATTGTGTTGTTAAGGTATGTCTATAGATGATATGTTGTTACTAGCGTTGCCCAAATGCAAGATCAAATTGAGAACGAGTCAGTCTTGGTCTTGGTCTTTCACAAGAGTCTTGCAGTTACCTGTTAGCTTATTGCTATTTATTAAACATGTCAATTTAGATCTTAGAAAAACACTACAGATTAGATACATTCAAATTTTTTTTGTCATAAAAATAGTAAACTCCAACCAAATTAATAAAATTAAAAAAAAGAAGGTTAATTTGGTCTTATTCAGTCATTAAAGAGAATTGTTCTATAGTTTTAAAAATAAATATACTTCCCTACATATTTTGTTTTGGCAAACTTGTTTCTTACCTTTTAAAAAAATCCCTTTTTTGAAACATTAATAACAAAATTTTTTTTTTTTTTATTATTAATTGAATTTACAACTGTATTACATAGAGAATACAATAAGTAAATGAGAAATGTGTAACATGGCATGTACAACATGAAGAGAAACTACCCATTGGTAGAACTCAATAACAAAAATTTAAAAAAAAAAGTATTATAATTATAAAAAAATTAGGAAATTTTATCCACCCTGAGAGAATGTATTTCCATACCAATAAATAAAGTTATTTCTATTCTATTCTGTTTATATAATGATAAACTTCTAAGTGTTGGAGCAGTCAGAAATGTTGAGCAGTTTCTTGTCGTTTCAGTCTAGTATGTGGATTCCTAAGTAGCGGATTTGTTCAACAGGAATAAGTGAAATATCATTGAAGGATATTGTAGGACAAGAAGTTATAGGTTTCCGACATAGGGTAAAGATAATTTGATGGGATTTATTGGAATTTAATTTTATTCTCCAGTTATTCTTCAAGGTTTGTGATGTGATTGGAGAGTTTGGGATGCAATTAAAGGGTCATTACTAACAGATAGGATACAAGTGTCATCTGCATAGGTGGTGATGACCGTGTTGGGATATCAGCTGTATACTTTATAAGGGGTAGGACCGAGGATGCTCCCTTGAGGAACACCAGCAGGCTGGGAAAAGAGGGATGAACATGCATTATTATGATTTACTTTGAAGTATCGATCAGTAAGGTATGAACGGATAATGAGGAAGTATGTAGGTGATAGGAACTTACAGGAATTTGAGTTTATGCAGCAGTCCCGGGTGTAAGACTCTATCAAACGCCTGTTCAACGTAGAGAAAGACTCCCGTACAGTACATTTTGTGCTCCAATGCAGAGAAGACTATGTCTACCACACGATAACATTGCTGGATAGTGGAATAGGATGTGCGGAATCCAAATTGGTGATCAGGGATTATATTATTGGAATCTAGAATGGGGTACAGGTATAACCATGGTTTAATTCTGTAGTATGGACTCTTCTGGCTCAGTCTGGCGTCCATCAGCCACCTAGCTCTATGCTCGCCCAATTTCAGTTGCAGTCGTTTTTGAGCTAGACTGTTCACAGACACACACACACCATTTTGCGGGACTTGATTATTTGGACTCAGTGGACCTCATAACATGTATTTTTGTTAAAAACACACACACGTAACACGTTCCCTTACAATATATTACATATATAGGTAAGTGAACATAAAAATTGAATGAACAGACAATCAAGTGATATCTTTTATTCTTATATTTCAATTTGCATTAGAAAAATTTACATCAATGAATGCTTAATTATTAAATCATATGAGATATATCTCAAACTATGTTGCATGCGAGGATGGTGTATGTTATCCTTAAATAAAAAAATAAATTAAAAAAAAATATTTGTTTTATTGTCCTAAAATTAATACATCAGTACTGAATAAGATTATTAAATTTACAAATAATTCAATAATTTATTAATTGAAAAAAAAAAATAATAGACAATGTCTGTATGTCTATAGAGTAAGTACACAAAATATACAAATATTATCACAAATAATGAAAATTATCAGTAGCAAGCTCATGTGCATAAACAGTTACATTTAGTTTCTTTCAACTTATTGAACATTCTTTTCTTTTATTTGAACTTACAAAAATAAATAAATGAATAAATACAAAACCCATTGCATTTAATTTATTCGAATCATTGACCTAATTTGTAAATGATTTGTTACTTAAAAATGTTTAAGTACTTGGAAATAAACTTAAATTAACTGTTAAGTATATAAATAATTGAATGACAATTACAGACAACTTAAAATAAAATTTTATTAGAAAATTACATAGAGATATTATTCAATTTTTTTTTTCATTTACATAAATTAAGATAATAGCTACTACTATATTTTTCAATGAAAATTTATGTCATGCAACATAAAAAAATTCTCTGATATTATTTTTTTAAAATAAGATGAGATTTATACACAATATTTGGTAAAATCACAATTAAAAAATGGTCATTTTTCTCTTGGTCTCTCGTAGAGTCTGTTCCCGTTCGACTTTCCCGTCAAAACTCTTCAAAGAGTGCAGCTTTCCCCTCTCATTCTGGAGCTTAGACATGATGTTATTATAGGGAACTGAATCTGGCTTCTGCCTCGTCAAGGATTCACTTAGAATGTATATCCTCTTCTCGGACTCCCGTATGTCCTCAGCGATCTTAAACCTCTCTACGTTCAGCTCACGACAACTTGTTTTAGATATTTTGTTTGTTATGGATTGGTTTGACTTCGTCTTGGAGGATGTGCCTGGTTCTTAAAGATTAACAAATTTTATTGTGAGATTAAAATAAAACTTACATATACACATAATATTCATTTCATAAAACTAGTGGTCACACATTGGTAACATCAATGTTTAATTTTCAATGGCTTTTAACATCAATATATTTTGTAATCGCAAGAGGACCTACACAAGCTGCTTTCCAGCCTTCAAGACAAACCTAGGACCTTACCTTCTCTCTCAGGATGGTTACGGAGGAAGCGTTGGACCGAGGAGGAAATGTTTACCTTGCCTTTTTGGACCTCAGAGCGGCCTTGTCTCGGTCCCCAGACAGGAGATTTGGATTGCCTTACAGAAGAGGATAACACCGAACCTCATAAGTGCCATTAAATCAGTTTACCAAGATCCAAAAGGCATGGAATAGAATGAAGTCTGCTCCATTCAGATTTTATAAAGGAGTCAAGCAAGGAGATAGTCTCAATCCACTTCTGTTTAACATTGTTAAACAGATGTTGAAGGTATGCAAGCGAAGAACACACAGAGCAATTGTTGGATATTGAAATATGCTGCCCATCCAGGCCCAGCGTTTTGTTTATGCAGACAACATTGTGTGGTGATAGCAGACAATGAGGATTCTCTGCAAGTTGCAGTGGAGGAGTAGTCCAAGCAGCTTAAGAGAAGAGGACTCGCAATCAACTATGGTAAGAGTAAGATTATGCAGGTAGTACGGGCAGAGCCAGAGCTCAGGATTGTGTGTGAAGGACACCAACTGGAGCAAGTTGATATTTATGAATATCTGTGAACTCTCTTCAGTTGGGATGGGAAGATGGACCAAGAAGATATGCATCGAGTGAGTAAAGCTAACCAGGTCATCTTTCAAACTTCCAGAACACTGGTGGGCAAGCAAGAGGTGAGCAAAGAGACAAAGCTTCGCATCTTTAAATCTGTCTTTCTCCCGGTCCTGTTATATGGAGCAGAGAGCTGGATACTCTTGGACAAGAATGCCTCACGAATGACACCAGCAGAAATAAGGTATCTCAGAAGAGTTGCTGGAAAGACGAGAGAAGACTGTGAGAGGAAAAGGACAGTTAGAGATATAAGGGATGGAGTTAGATTGAAGGGATGTCAGAGAGGAATGCAAGCTCAAGTGGCACGGACATGTCTGCAGGATGGGGGATGAGCATAGAGCTAGGTGGCTGATGGAGGCCAGACTGAGGGGGCAGCGACCAGTTGGACGCCCGAGAATCACATATAATAGTTTTATGGATAGACCATGACGGGAGCGGGGTCGACCCTGGTGGGAATGAAGAGAAAGGCCCTGGATAAGGACACATACCGAAGGTGGGCCGAGACACTCCACGCTTAACCGCACAAAGAAGATAGAGAAAGAAGAAGAAGAGGACCTACAGAACTTTGTGGAGATCTCAATGTGACCCTCAGGCCAAAAAGCTTGAGGTGTACACTATTGATTACTTTCCCTAAGACCAAGTCACAATTTCAAAAGGTTTCTCGTAATGCATACCTAACCTATTGTAAAATTTAATCAAATTCAATAAAACACACACAATGATGAACTTATCAAAAATATAAATATATCTAATACACGAAAGCATTCAATACCTGCAGCTGCATTTAGTTCTCGGTTGATAAAATTGAAGACGTTATGTTTTTCTCTGTGTTTCTGCCTTCTGTAAGCCTTTTGGGTCCTCCTTATTTCCCTTAGTGCTAACTTCTTTTGGACTTTTTCAGCTGAGAATAGATCTTTCGAACCACCGGCAGCTTCTTTCAAATTCATACAATGATCTGAAAGAGTTCATAAACAACTTTGTATAAAGAAATAAAAAGAGTAAAACTAATTTAATAGCGATTTGTGGATAGTCCAAAGTATATGGAAATTTTAATTTTCAAAATGAAGAAAAGTAGACTATAATTCGAATGTTGTTCAAATAAAACTATGAATTGGTCATGAAAAATAATTTTTTTTTGCTTTTAAGTAATCAATTCTTTAATTATTTCTTATTATTTAAAAGACAACCCATATAAAGAGGTGAATTGTTGGAAATAAGAATTCATTCTTCAATGTTTTAACACAAAGTAAAGTTGCATTCCTGGAACATCTAGCAGAAAAATATGTCAACTACAATCTCAACTTTCTTAGAAAAAGAAAGTGTGGTGATTGCCCTTGGTGGTTGAAAATCAAAATACTTAACTAAAACAAAGCTTTAGTCAAGAAACTTGACCGTATAAAACAGTTAACACGATACAATAACTTACTTATGACTTATGCCAGGAAAATAACCTAAAATTTGTTATTTTTTGTTTAAAATTAAAAAAGAAAAAAAGTAAGAGTGAAATTTTACCTAACGATTTTCCAGCTGGCAACACGAGGGCCTCTACTGGATCCAATCTTCCTTCTCCATTCTTACCGAGGCCACAACCGACAACGTAACCCATCTTTGCCATTAACTTAGACCCGATACCCTGAAAAGTTAAAAATAACAACAATGATTAAAGAAATAGAAAACATTAAAATGTTGGTAGCAATAATGTAAGATTCTTTTGAAGGAGCTGACAGACGAAAACGCCCAGCACTTTTCTGTTATATATTTTCTTGGTGTATTGTAGAGATAAAGGAGAGGATATACTGAAGGTGATGATAAATAAATATGAATAAAATCAAAATTAAATATTTAAAGCATCAGAATCATTATTTAATAGTACACTTTATTTGAATGTAACATCGGAACAAGGATTAGCCAAAGTATTTTAATTTAAAAATTTTGAATCAACACTATAAACAAAATTATGATTTTTCCTCTGATATACTGAAATTCTTGAGTTAAGTTCTAATAAAATAGGAATATAAAACATACAGTTTGCTAATAAAAACTTGGAATGATTTTGAAGTTGAATTAATTGTAGTATTTTAATATGATAAATAATAGTTAGTAAACAACCATTGAATTGTATGCCTATTTAGTCATAACTGACAATGAAGTCACAAAATCATATTAATCTAGACTAGTGTTAGTACATCATTCACTTTACATATACTAAAATATAACTTTATACATTTTGAAAGTATTTATAAATTACATCATAAGTATATATTGGAGTTAGGCAGATTTAACTACTTTGATAGTTAAGGGATCATCAATTGATAAAATCCATCGTGAGTTATGCCTAATGTATGGACCTGATATAATAAGAGACAAACAAGTTCGAAAATGGTGTCAATAATTTTAAAATGGCCATACAAATGTGCAAGATGAACAGTAGAATGAAGCAAGACCAGTACAATGTTGATACAATAAAAAAAATGTTGATCAATTTCTTTTCAATAATGATTTTTTTTTTAAATTTACACCTATCAGCCTGTAACAATAAGCGGATGTAAATTTTATTGATAGAATTGGCATGTCAGGCATGAGGAAGGTCACCACTACCCATTGGTACCTACTCGTCACTTGAAATAAAAAGTTAATCCAGGAGATCTCTTAATCAGCTCCTTTTCATCCTTTGTCGATCATTTTCTGCCATATGTGTTATGGCCATGTTTTGTATAAGTTTGTTGGTATGTCTGTGAAGTTTGTCATGACATTTTAATGTGACGTCCGAATCTGATCTTGTACTATCAGTATTTGTAAATCTGTATATAATATTTTGTTAATGATATACCAGGGTAAACGTGTGATGAGTCTTAAAGTTTTTGATTTAAAAGTCTGTATGGATTTCGGAAAGTAACTGTAAGCGTTTTAGTCTCATTTTTAAAGAAGATCATTTGTCTAATTCTTTTTTGGCAATGTTGTGCTATTACAAAATTGTTGAAGAGCACCTCTAACGGAGCTAAAGCTCAAGCCTTACAGCTAAGAACTCATTAATACCATTAAAATAATACCAACTATATTTATTATATCGACTGTAGACAATAAAAATCTCGTAACTCTATTTGTTTTTGGAAACCACATCTGTATATTCAACCAATAAATGATTATTGATTTCACTACTATTAGCCATTAAAATCTTATTTTTCTATTATAAAGTTTACTAAAATGGAGTTCCAAGATTTTCATTGCCTACTATCGATAGTTGAAAAGTTGTCACACTAATAATTAGTCAATTATTGAAAGTGGATAATGTTGTGATTTCACAAAAGAGAAAATTCTACTAATTATTCACTAATTTAATTTTGTAAAATGTTACATGATAGACTTTTGCAGTAAACCAATGATAGATACCTAATTATTTACATATAATATCGGATCTAGTGTTATTAAACTGCAGTAAATGTATTTAAGGTTATAAACATATCCATGAAACATTTTACATTTCACTTCTTCTTTCACACAAGTAAAATGAAATAGTATTTTAAACAATTATTTTTTTGCCTTGATTCGGTGTATTTTAAATGTTGTTTTTTTTTTCAAACTTAAAACAAATTTTAAAATTAAGAAAATACATTTAATGAGAAAATTTCATTTAATTTCCTTGTAAACATGTGATTACGTTAAATAATGCTAATCTTCAGAAATTATTATTTTTTTTTTTTTTTCGTTACTCTCCTTTATCTTCTACAGCTTTATTTATTAGATATTATTTTTTCTAAAATTCTCTGTTTTCTAACAATATATTATACATATGCCTCCTGACTATTATTTCCGCGGGTTCATTTTCGATCTGGATAAGCATTTTCTTTATTCTCCTTTATTCAATAATCCAATTCTTTCAAAAGTTATATTTGGCCTCAAATAGTGTATTCCCGTTGAAAACTCAGATTCAAAAATATTCATGATCGCAATACATTCTTTACTATATATTACATAAATAGGTAAGTGAAAGTAAATAAAAGAATAAGAAAGAAAATCTGTGTTTACTTCTAGTACTGTATATTATTACATTTTGTTTAATAATAAACATTCAACCTACTTATCTATTGGGCTGGCTAATAAGTCCTTTGGGTTTTTCAGGGTGAAATAAAACTCAATGTATTATATACATAAAAGATATTTTAATCTACAATATATTGACCATTATTTCATATGACTTTTTCCTATCTTTCCACTAACTGCATAATGCCATGTTCATAGAATGTCTGGAGTTAATTGTTAAAAAACTGATCCAAGTGGTTTTTTATGTCCTTTTCCTTTTGGAATTTCTTTCCATTCATGGAATTCAGCAAAGACCGGAATAAGTGGTAATCACTTGGAGCTAGGTCTGGTGAAAAGGGAGGGGGGCGCAAGAGGTGCCATCCAAGGCTCAATAATTTATTGCGAGTGACCAATGAGGTGTGGGGCCTTGCGTTGTCTTGGTGGAACACAAGATTCTTCCGATCATTCATAATTCTTCAAGATGTTCTCCAAATTCGATGTTACTATATCAGTTGAAAAGCTGAATTATTGATTGCTCTTTTTTTGGTTTTTTGATTTAATACCTATATAAGGAATAAATAAACAAAAACTTCTTATAGGTTTTTTGAAAGAAGCTAGTCGACTATTCTACATATGAATGATAAATATTCAGGACGCAGTCATTATAAACAAAAATTTATAATGACTGAATACTTATAGGTTTATATTTTTTATCTCCATTTGTAGTTTTATCTCCATGTTTACGAGTGTCCTGTTGGTGTCATTATGTATAGTTTATGTGGCCCTAAATTCCTGCTAAATTTCTTGTAGATAGCTAAATTCGTATTGAAGTTTTAACATTTTTTGTGATTTTCGAAAAAAAAAATCATGAGAGGGACCCAAACATTAAGCCTGGAAACATAGCTGAGGCTTGTGCAAATGGTTTTCAACGCTTGTGTACAACACATTGAGGGTCATAGCAATCTCCCGCACTGATTGGATACGATTTTGATCAACAATGGTCTTAACATTGCTCGTTTCAATTTCATCTGGGCGACCAGACCGTAAGGCATCATTGATGTAAAAATTTCCTGAATGAAATTTGGCAAACCAACTTTGACAGGTGCGTTAGGTTAAGTCATCATCTCCATAAACACTGAAAATTTTTCTATGAGGTTCTGCAGCACGCTTACCTTTTTTAAAAATAATACAACAAAATATGCCGATAATGAATGATATTTTCTTCCATATTCACAGTGCAATAGCACACACAATACTAAGCTAGTTTGAACAAGAGTTACCAGATATAGTTGTCGACATATTACAAACGGAATAAACAATCCACCTTAGGGATGAATTCATCAGACAAGAAGTGTATCATAGTGACAGAAAAAACGGAAGAACTTATTTGCCAACACAATATCATAATAGTTGAAATATTGTTTACTTATATTTTAATTTAATTATTTTTGATATACCTTGGTAAACTTCTCCCAGTCACCCATCCTCTGAGTCTGGGGTTGCCTACTTAAGCTCAGCTCTACCATTTCTTCTTGACGGCTGTTGAAGTTCTTTCTTAACAAATCTTCGTCCATTTCATCATCGGTAGTAAGATCACTACTGTCACCATCTAAACAATCATTACATTAAACTAGACTTTTATTATCATAGGAACAGTTTTTTATGATCTAATAAAATTATGAAACATATAATAGGAAAAGGTACTTGTCTAGTAGCCAGTCGGGATCGACTGCTATCTGCCAATGTTTATAACCTGAATACTGATAAGTCACAGATAATACCTATATTCATATTCATATTTATTGTATTATATTCATATTATTGAAATTGTAAACAAAAGCAAAATCAAATGTAATGAAAAAATACTTTTATTTTACAATATATATATATATATGAAATAGACGACAACATAAGTAATAATAACAAAACAGTTTGATTTAAAATTGAAATAGACAAAAAGAAATGTAATAATTCCCACAACAATAAGAAAACACTTTCATTTTATAACATATATATATCTATTTTGACGACTTTGCCAGGCCCCCCAACTTTTTTACTTGGCCTGTATAACATGTTATGGGCACAAACCTCTGTTAAAAATTTGTCCCACATCATCATAGTTGTCTTGGATAGTTTCAGCTGCTCTTCACCCTACTGCATCATTGTTAAATTATGGGACCGCCCATAAATTAATTTTAAAGTGTTAAAAACAAAATCCTCAACTCCTCTAACCACGTTCCTTTCCTTAAAGAAATGTTTTTGTTACAATTGGTACGAAAACATCTCCATTTCGTCTTCCTGTCTAACTTTATTTGATGACCTTCTTCACACATGTTTGGAATTATCCCGGTGTTTTGAAAATATTTGATAGACTCTCCTCCTGAAGACGGCAATTCCCACAACGTAATAACATCCAAAATTTGAAGAAAATCACACAAATGGAACAAAAATAAACAATGGAATAACTCACAGCTTACATGAGATAAGAAGGGAGGTTATGTTATGTAACATTAGATAACAAGGTAGGTTTTGTCCCGACCGAGTACTAGACAGGTATCTGGTAAAACACCTAAATCACAAAACCCCCTCCCTGTTTAACAATTCAAGTACAACCATGGCAAATAAGTAACAGCAAACATGCTATTGAAAAATGGTACTGCTTCTTTTTACAAAATATTTCATGTCCTTCCATATTTTTTATCTTGAGGATGAGAATCCAGAAGGCAATGAAGTGATTAATTTATTCCAACAGCTACCATGTTATTTAATGTGCGTTAAGCTAAATTTTGTGGTATCTGCACCATGGATCTTGAATAATGGAAAATGGAATAATTCTTTTGATTATTATAATGGTTCAGTCTTATAAATGAAAAAATAAATTAAAATAGTTTTCATCAATCAATACACAATTAATAACAGAATCAATAGACTTCCAATCGTCTGATCCAAACAAATTTCAAGCCTAGCTAACAAGTCATACTTGTCGTTAAATAGATCATGAGTTTTATTAATTTCATGGTTCATAATGCATGTCTAGTGTCACGTGAATTTTCAGTATAAACTAAAAATTCCAGCCAGATAGCAACGAAATTAGAGTTAAAAAGTACAAATTTATTTGAGAAGATATGAATTACCACCAAAACCACATGAACGGCATAGTTAAAGTTTTATAAGAGAGAATATGGTTGTGTATAGTATAAAGTACCATAAAATCAACCACCTATAGAGTGAAGTTTACAATAAACCAAGATGTGATTATTGTTCCAGTGTTATTGGAATTAAGTTTTATAATAATCCATGGTACAGATCTCTTTTTAGAAAATTATTAACATCCGGCTGAAACGTCATATATAGCTTCATCTCGTTGTAAACTACAAATATTTTATTTACCAAAATTCTCGGAATTGGGACGTTTTCAATCTGGAGGTCAGCACACTTTGTTTACTTAATTAGGGACTAAACACTCGTAAATACCCATTTGCTTTCCACTTGAATTGTAAGATAACTTCTACACAAAGTGGGAAAAAAAGGTGGCCTTAAAAAATATTGAGCCATTTGGCATGACCTGTACCCCCAAATTGTGAAAATAACAAGATTATATAGGCCAAACAAACCAATATTTTTGTAGGACACATTTTTTATCGATTTTGTGATCGAATTATCTTACGAACCAAGTGGAAAGCAAATTGGTACTTATTGGTATTTAGTTACGTTCCACTTACAAATCGTAAGATAAAGAAGTCGATAAAGAAGGTGGCTTTAAAAAATATTGAGCCATTTGACGTGACCTACATCCCCAAATTGTTAAAATAACGAGATTATATAGGCCAAACGGCTTGATAGGCCACCTTTTTTCTCGGTTTTATGCTCAAGTTATCTTACGATTAAAGTGGAAAGCAAATGGTTTTTTTATTTATTTATTTTTTATTTTTTAGTACCAAATTAAATAGACAAAATTTGCCGATCTCCTGATTGAAAACGTCCCAATTCCAAGAATTTTGGTAAATAAAATATATGTAGGTTACAATGAGACAAAGCTATTTACAAAGTTTCAGCCGGATGTTAACAATTTGCTAAAAAGGGATCTGTACCACGGACTATAATGTTTCTTAATATATATAACTATATCAAGAAAAATATTAATTGAAGTAGTGAAAATCAGTATAAAAAAGAAAATTTAGAAAATGTTCCAAAATGAATGTAGTAAGGGAAATCAGCATAAGAAAAAAAAATTAGAAAAACATGTCAAATAGTGTTTCATGGTGCAGGTTGTGCCATCAAAATTTTTAAGGATAGCACATTTCAACAGGGTTATGAATTTTCAGAATGAAAAGTTTCGAACCAGGAGACAAAGGCAAAATCCTAGAACAGACAGCAGCAAGTGTGATTGTATAAGATTTACGGTTTTTTAAATTCTGCTTTTGCTTGCACACTTTTCAAGAGGAGAGCAAAAATAAAATATCATAGCATGGGAAAGGGAAATTCATGCGAAATTGTCCTTGGAGAGGGGGGAGATGGGTACCCCTTATAATGATATTATCAAATAAACAATTTATTTTTCATATTAGTAGAAAATTAATGTATTTTAAAAATATAAATTTAACAAATCAACAAAATTACATAGTAAAAAAAGACTAAGGTGTGTGCTTTAGACCACCTGATGGAAGTGAAAACAGCAATAATAATATGAAATATAAATCGTATATAATAGCTCATAACAAAGAGAATGAAATGATGAATATTTCCCTCGCCAACAATATGCAGGTCCCATTTTTAGTTTTTGAGATATTTTAGTCCATATGCAAAAACATTTCATTTAGTCGACTCCAGCCGACTTTACCCGCGTTACATATCGGAAATCTGACAGATCAATCTAATTCACTGTCCACAAAACGTGCCTGAAGAAGTTTTCACTTTAAAAAAAAATTGTTTTCACAAATATTTTAAATTAATTTAAGAGTTTCTTTTATGATTCAAATAAATTTTAAACATGCAAAAATTAAATAATAACTTGATTAATAATTTTCATTAATATAGTCAATAAACATATTGATTAGAGAAGAAAATATAATAATAATTATAACATTACCATCATTAGTGAGAGGAAAGATGTCATGGATGGGTACTGCTGCGAAATTTCCCTCATGCTTCACGAGGACTTGTTCATCGGACGAAATTTCTTCGATAACGGTTGATTTCCATACTTTATTATCACCGATTTTCGCTAGGACTCTGCTTCCCCTCTTTAAATTGGTAAAATCTGGCTCTCTTCAAAAACAGTAATCAAATGAAATTAATATATAAGCTTAACTAAATGAAGCAAATTATGTTGAAATGGATATAGACTTTGAAATAAGGATGGTTGTTAAAACTGCAAACAGATCCATTACTCAATATCGCAATCCTGGTCTCTGTGCTGAAACCTTCTTGTAAACATTCTATTTCAGAAACAGACCATTAGCTGAAATATGAAAAGTCATCGTTAATAATAAAGTTATACTCAAGGCAAAGAAGTTATTTATCCAAAAATTAAAATAAAAGTTAAGATAAATATGACTGTTACAAGCAGTTTATTCAATTTTTTTTATGGCTTTTTAAGAAAATATATATATATATAAAAAAAGGTTTTGTAATAATATGGACTGAATTTTTTTCATCAAATGTTAATTAATTCCACAATTTTTGTTCTCATGGCAACAATTTGGCTGTTACACCATCTTCAAGCCTATTGGTTTATTTTATCTCTCACTACAGCATGATTGGATTAAAGTATTAAAAATTGTAGAATGAATAAATATACAGTGGAAAAAAAAAATTATTTCAATACCTAAATACGAATTTTCATAAAAAACTTAATAAAGTTATGGATTTAAAAATAATTTAATTGAGGAAGAAAAAAGTAATAAAATTTTGACTATTTTTCCTGTCATCGGATTTTTCAAACAATAATTACTAGAAGGCCTACAAGATTAATTCAATATTATTATAATATTGGTCAATATTTACTAATATTGACAATGCTGGTCAGTGATCAAATGACAAATTAATAAGAAAAGAAAATAATGCAACGTATCATAAAATGGAGAAATAAATTCTCATTTTCTCAGTAATTATAATTAACAAAGGAAATGAAAATTAATATAAAACTTCATTCATGTTTTGAACCAACATGTTTACAGACTTCAATAAGCTGTATCTGTGCTAATAATAGTCCAATTTCGATGATTTTTTTTTTTTTGTAGGGAATTTAGTAATCTTTAAATAACCATGTGTGTAATCAACAAAAAAGTTTATACTTTTTGAGTTATTTGCAAATAAAGTTTCTATTCCTTCATAATTCTTTTTCCTGAAATTTTGGTTAATATGTAACTATTTTTCCCACCTAAAGGAGAAGGAAATCTTCAAAATGATGGCTCAATCTTGCGATTTGATAAAGAGTTAACGAATATATGGCTTAATGACAAAAAAAAACATCTTTGATGAATTATATAAACTCCTCTCTCGATCATAGGGAATTCTAGTTGACAACATGATACATCTATCCCATGGCAGCACTACCATTAACGTGATCTCAAGTGGCTGCGAATCCTTTGTCTTGCATTATTTTATAAATGGTAAATTTTTTGGATAGAAAATGCAATTTTGGAATTTCTAGGCCCTTTCGAGGGAACTACCAAGTCTTGGTGTCCGCATAAAAATCTTGAAATCCCATATCGATCCACTGACTTACCACCATTTCAGTACTCAAGCCTAGCAAAATGTTCATATCGAATTTATATATTTTAGGAAGAAAACAAAAAGCGGGGAATACGATTCGCTTATCCCCTGTGAAATTCTAAATCCAACGGTAAACCATTCGTGGCATTTGAGCATGACAGAAGCTAAAACCGATTTTGAGCCTTAGTACAAAAATATATGAGGAAGATTCATAATTTGGCAAATCTTTCACAAAATTGATGTTATTGAACATCCTGACTACAGGTGATTATGATTATTTTCCTCAGGATAAAAAATATTATTTGCCCAAACATTAGCTTATTATAACTGATATAATTATATTATAGTGTCAAAATAAGTTATAACCTTTAAGGTGGTATGCATAGTCCTTCCTCTCACTCTACTTGAACATTCCGTCAAAAAGAAATACTTTTATGAAACTCCCTGAAAAAAGATTTCTTTCAAACAATTGATGTTTCTTCTCTTTAAAAAAATCGGTAGAAAAATAAGTTAAAAGTATCAATTGAGGATCGAGTGAACAAGTAGAGATAACAGGACTGTTTTAATATAGTTAAATAGTTCAATAAGGAGTCCTATTTTCATTCAGTTTCATAAAAGTATTGCCTTTTTGACAGAATGTTGAAGTAGAGTTAAGAGGAAAGACTATTCATATCACACTATTATATTCATATCAGACTATTCATATTAGTAGTTTAAGAGTAAACTATTTATCTGACAAAATTATAAATATGGATAAATAAAAAACATTTTTAAAAATACATATTTTACTGCATTTTTTATTAGAAAATGTGTTTTCAATTTTTTTAAAATAATGACCTTGATTATTTCTTATCCTGCTTATCAAAAAATATTCCCAATCCCTAATAAATCAAAGGTACATTGCTTTTAGAATATAATTTAAAATAAAAATTTAATTTATAAATTCTTACCTAAATTTCAATATACTCTAATACACTGACAGGCAAAAAATTCCACCCACTTGTTATCCATTAAGGAACCACGTTGGAAAGGTTGGCTCTGGGAAAAATTACAGGCTGCATATCTTTCGTTTCTTCTCCACACCCTTTCACGCCCGTCTGGAGATCGAAGAACGAATCTTGACTCATCTGTAAAAAGTACAGCACTCCATTCGCCCGTCGTCCAATGGCTGTGTTCTCGAGTAAAAGTCAGCCGTGTTACTCTGTGAGTTCTGGTCAACTCTGGTCCTCTTACTGGACGAAAAGCCATTAATCCAAACTCATTTGATCTTCTCCGAGCGGTACGTTCAGAAATTTGCACACCTCGAACTTCTTCGAGCTGATGAATCGTTTGAACAACGGTAAGGTGCCGGTTTCGTAAATTTCTCAAAGTCAAAAACCGGTCATCCCGTGGTTCTGTTACCCTAGGCCGTCCAGAACCGGGCCTTCTATTGTCTAAGAACCAGTTTCCCGAAAACGCCTGACGGCATCTTGTAAAGTTTCAAATGGAACTCCGATGGCATTAGCTGCATATCTAATGGAACGTCCATCATCAATAAGTGCCACACCACGTGCAACATCCTCAGCACTAAGAGGCATTTTTAAACTTAATATTGGAAAAATTAAAAGCCAGAGACTAAGAAATGTGCTGCAAGAAACGGCACTAAAATAATGATACTGAATAAACATTTTGGATTCCATAGAAAGTAAACATTGGAATCTAGAATCATTTCATTGAATTAAGGATTAAGGGTTATTGTCCTCTATATTAACATTCATAATTGAAAACAAACAAAAAGATTACCTATTTATTCATTAAAAACAATAGACCAATCCAAAGCAGAAATATTTTTTGATGAAAACATGAAAAAAACAAGTGGGTGGAATTTTTTGCCTGTCAGTGTATAATCTTATAATTTACATAAAATATGGCTGCCACATTAACAAAAGTTCTAGAAAAAAACTATTAAAAAAAAAAAACTGCCTGTAACAGATGTTTCATTTCTGAAATACTAACTGACTTTAAGAAAAGGTACAGCACAAAGCACAGAACAGATTTAATATATTTTTATAGAAAATTGTTTACAAAAATTTCTGACCATCCTATTAAAATAAAACAGCTGTCAATAGAGAAATCTGGCAGAAGCTGGAAGTTGAGGCCCAATTCGGTTAAGAGTTGATGTGTAAATTAATAATGGGTGATAAGTATTCAGGACGCAGTCATCAAAAAGTTTTTATTGGTACTGACGTTTCAAACAAAACATGTGGATTATCAAGGCATGTTTCTAGCACCAAAGGTATTCAGTACTTGAATACCTTCGGAGCTCGAAACACGCCCTGATGATGACCCACATGTTTGGGTTGAAACGTCGGCACCAATAAAAACTTTATAATGACTGCGTCCCGAATATTGATCACCCATGATATGTAGAATAGTCGATAAACTTCCTTCAATAATTCAGTATATTAATAATAATAATAATAATAATTATTATTATAATGGTTGTCAAAGGAAAAGTTAAAAATAATATTTGTTTTCACTTAAGTTTATGTGTCCCAGGTTAGAATAATCAAAATCAAAAATAAACTTCTGATTATTATTTATTTGTACGTTTCGGGGAATCTGTGTCCCCATCCTCAGCAATATATTTTCCCAAAAATATTGCTGAGGATAGGGACACAGATTTCCCGAAACGTACAAATAAATAATAATGAGAAGTTTATTTTTGATTTTTATTATTCAGACCTGGGAGGCGTAAATTTGAGTGAAAATAGACATTACAATATAAACGTCAAACATTTGAAATATTATTAGAAATAATTGTTTAACACATGTAGTTTTCCTAGGAGCAAATAACCAATAATCGGACATTAAAGAAACAAAGATCTTAATCTAGGGAATAAATTAAAGTTTAATCTGGGCTGGTACAATGGACAGACACTAAGTGTTTTGGTTTCTTCAATTAGAACGATAATTTTTAGTGTCATTACGTACTTGCACAAATTTTCAACTTTTATTCATTGGTGAAAATTGAGTTATAGCAATACAAATGCAAAAAGTTCTAAAATATTTCTGGTACACATTTTCAAAGATAATCAGAGTTAAAGAAAAGTGGTGGAGTTGGAGCTATGTCATGAGTATGAATACACGGCAATATGATGGGCTGCCGACTCCCAGTATACTATTGATTATCTTATAATACCTAGCTTAGAAAAGTGTTTTCAGCTTCAAAACTTCCATTCAAGAAATATCCTGCCTAGGGATGTTACGATAATGTCGATATCAATATTTTTATTTCGATATGGCCAAAATTGAATTAAAACAAACAATAATGAAAAAAAATATGGCAATATTAGATTTCGATATTTTTTTTCTGATCACATTACAAAAATAAATCAATTTAGTATTTAAAAAAACAAAATGAATGTATCAAGCAATGCTAATATTTTTTTTAACCACTGAAACACTAACCCTTAAATATCAACATATACTATAAAATGGAGTTATGATAATTACAAAAAAAAAAAAAAAAAAAAAAAAAAAAAAAAAAAAAAAAAAAAAAAAACAGCTCAAAAAGTCACCAGGTACATTTTTGATGTAGATGAACTTTTAACTACCTTTTTGTGAATTTCAATTTTATTCATCGATAAAAAACACAATGAGGTACAAATTCTTTTACATATCAAATATAGTTACAACAAGTGCACAATTATCTGATTCCTTATGAAAAGTCACCTAATGACTTTTTACAATAAACCGATGATATATTCTAAATTTCATTTTGATTTTGATATTGATGATATTTTCAAATCGATATTACACTAATCAAAGACCTACATCAACATCAATACAGAATGTCAAAACTTGTCCAATATCGCAACAACCTTAATCTTCCACTTTATCTTTCACTCAGTTGTCTCTGAATAATAATATATTAAATTAGCTTCTAAAATGCATGTTTAGAAGTTTAGGAGTAGAAATGAGAGAGGTTTGAAAGTATCATGTTTTCAGACCTACATGTAACACTTCAGTAGATTCACGCCACACCCACAACCTCCACACTCCTCCGATATGCACTGTTATTTTAGGTTGATAACTAAATTTAGAGCTTTTTTTATTATCTAAAAAGTTCAATCACAGACTTATATAAATTCTTTATTTGTTGAATTATATTTTTTTTCCATACCCAATCATTAGAAATAAACAAGGCTAGATAAGCTTAGAATCTCAACAACACCTCACCATAGAATAGTTAAATAACATCTTATGGAAATTAAATAGATAAAATTTAAAAAATCAACGAGATATGATTATAACTACATTAAAAAAAATATATATATATATATATATGTTATCTCACCTATACTCCCTCAATTCTCCAAAAGGTACAAAATAACCATGGGAAAAATTACATTTTTCTTCGCCAAAGTTACATCTATCATCAAGAAAATAAGGACAAGTAACCATATCTCTTTCCGTTGGATATGTGAACAGTACTCGGACCTGAAAAAAAAAAAATTGAATACTTTAAATTGTTAATATTTGAATCTAACCTTCTTCAGGACCATTGGTACATTTTCTTAGTACCAGGGATAATGTCAAAGTCATTGTATGGGAAAATCAAAGCCATTTATTTCAACAGCACGGACTATAATAGAAAAGGAGTTTAGCTATCTACAAATTATGTTCTTCATCGACTCACAAGTCCCCACATGATTGGTTATAAGTAATGCAAATGGTCTGGATCATACTGATGTCTCAAATGCAAGGCATCGCAATGAAAATCGAATTTAAAAAAAAAATGGTTCATAGACTGAAACGACAAGAAACCGCTCGACGTTTCCGATTACTTCAGCACTTACTAGACAAACGTTCTAAACTTCCAATTAACTACAAAAGACTCATATACTTGACTATAATAAGGCCTATTTGGACTTACGGAGTTGAGCTATGGGGTTCCACTAAATCATCAAATTCCTCTCGTATCCAATCCTTGCAATCCAAAATCCTTCGTAAAATCCTTAATGCTCCCTACATTGTTAAAAATAAAACCATCCATAATGACCTTAATGTTTCTTTTGTTTCAGATCCGGCTCAATCCAGATAACTATCCTTCTATAATAAACTTCAGAATCATCCCAACCCTCTCGTTTCTAACCTTGCTTCCTCTTCAATTCCTGATAACCCTCAGAGGCGTCTGAAAAGAAGATGGCCCCGTGATCTCCTAATATAAACCATATCATTAGAGTGCTACCATTGGATAGTTACTCAGCAAGTGTTTTCATATCCAGTATGTTCAAATTTGCTACATGTATTTATTTAATACAGTTGTAAATGTCATTAAGAAATAAAAAAAAAAAAGGTGTGTGCTTTAGAACTATATATATATATATATATATATATATATATATATATATATATATATATATATATATATATATATATATATATATATATATATATATATTTCATATTATTAATGTCACCTTGTTGATGTTTTACTTCTATCGTGTGGTCTAAAGCACACACCTTTTTTTTTTTCCTTTTTTTTTTTATTTCTTAATGACATTTACAACTGTATTAAGTTTATTATAGAAGGATACGTATCTGGATTGGGCCAGATCTGAAACAAAAGAAACATTAAGGTCATTATGGATGGTTTTATTTGTAACAATGTAGGGAGCATTAAGGATTTTACGAAGGATTTTGGATTGGATACGAGAGGAATTCGATGATTTAGTGGAACCCCATAGCTCAACTCCATAAGTCCAAATAGGCCTTATTATAGTCAAGTATATGAGTCTTTTGTAGTTAATTGGAAGTTTAGAACGTTTGTCTACTAAGTGCTGAAGTAATCGGAAACGTCGAGCGGTTTCTTGTCGTTACAGTCTATGAACCTTTTTTTTAAAATTAGATTTTCATTGTGATGCCTTGCATTTGAGACATCAGTATGATCCAGACCATTTGCATTAATTATAACCAATCATGTGGGGACTTGTGAGTCGATATTTATATATAAACATAAACATTTAATTGGGAATAAGGTCACTTATTAATTATTTAATAAACTACTAAATGTTCATTTCCTCTATGTTTATTGACGTTTTGATCCCGGTATTTTTCTTTTTATAAGTCAACGATGGAATCATCTCCAAAGCTAGAATTTTAAAAATAGAGCTTCGATCAGGCCAGGGACACACCGACAGTCTCAGAACCTCCACTAGCACATATATTACGCTACTTTATTAAGTAGCTATTTGCTAGTAATAATATTAAAATGCGAAAGAGTGCCGTTTGATTTGAATATTACATATTTGATTATACTTAATTAAAAAAAAAAAAAAAAAATGCAAACTGAACATGCATTTCACTTCTGTTAGTGCAAAAGGTCGTATGTAAAAATTGATTGTTTTACATGAGTGCATAAAAACTCATTATTTCTTTATGCTTTATTAGTATAATTTCATATTTTATTGTCACCTACTATTTTCCATAGTAGCAGAATACTTATATCAGTTGCAGACTACAAAATGTCACCATTAGCACAAATAGAATAAAAGTTGAAAACTTTTACATACGACCTTTTGCACTAATAGTAGTGGCATGTACTTAATAGGTATGTTTTCACTTGTAAAATGTATGGAACTAGAAAATCCATAGGATAAATTGAAGTTGTTGTTTGTTTGGAGTTAATGAGACCAATAATTTTCTTCAGTGAGAACAAAAAGCTTTAAGCTAGAAAATATAAAAATATGGATGAAGTTCACATAACTTAAATACTTAAGGAGGAAATCAAGACCAAGATGAACTGCTTGAACTTCAATGGAAATAAATACAATCACAAACAAGACGTTGTTTGTTTTACAAACTCAGAGTATAAATTACTTTAAATGTATTGAAAATTACACGAAATCTAAGTAACGGCAGTAAGTGTCATGCCAGTAACGTTTGGAATCGACCAGACTTTTTGCATAAATTTTTTAATAAAACCTAAAATTTTATAACCCTATAACAATATTGTAATAACCTAAAGCTATATGATCAGTACCTTCAACATTTCGCAGCCATTATATTGTTAAAAATTATTTATATTAATATTAATTATTAAATGGAATTCAATGAAAATGATACTAAGTAATTTCTATAATGTTCTCCAAATTTTCTCCAAGTTTGGGTCAAATCGAATACGCCGTTTCAAACTATAGGTATATCAAATAATACATTTCCTGATCTGAAAGCGGAAGTATTTTTTTTTTTTGGAGTAGTAGATAGAATTGGATAAAATTGATGCCTATTTCACTTTAAATTGACCAACCCCTAAATTCCCTCCAAGTTTGAGTCAAATCGAACTTGTGGTTTTAGAGATATAGACGTATCAAAGAACATGTTTGCGCATATTTACAAGAAATTAGTGGACAGAATTCAATAAAATTGACATTACGTTATTTTTTCACCATTGCCTACCTTTTATCTAAGTTTGAGCCAACTCAAATGAGCAGTTTCTGAAATACTGGCATATCTACAAAAATGTGTTTGCTCGTGCATAAGCGGAAGTGCTGGTTAGAATTTAATAAAATTGATATGGGACCATCTTTGAGACCCCTGGTTTTCTCAGACAATAAAAATAAATATAATATTGCAAAAAGAATTGAAATTGTCTTAAAAATAACCAAATTTAATTTTTGAACAAAACAAAACATTTGAAAAAGTGAGTAAATACTTTAAATATTAACCTTTATATGGTCAAGATCGCTAATGGAATCATTTGTTTCTATACCAGAAACTAATGCATTGTGGTATCCAGTTGAACCAGACTTGCTAGTGTATGGTGCTTGGCATTTCATTCCAATGATTTTCTCCAAATCTTCCTAAAAATATTCAATGTTATTATATATTATAATTACATATACTTTAATATAATTACAAGATGAAATCAAACTTATTAGGTAAATTTGGAAACAAATTTACTCACGAAGATTGATGGAGTTTCTTCTTCACCAGATAGGTTTTCTTCCTTTTCATTTTCATCATTTTTACATTCATTTTTGTCATCAATATCTCCCAACTCTGCCTAAAAATGTATTTCAACTTAGAACCAGTTAATTTCTAATAAAAAAAAAAAAAAATGGTGTAGATCAGAAGCAATTTTTAAAAAGGATGCCATTAATTTTAAAAGCTTATTGTATATCGAATAATTATTTCCATATATAGTTGGTTTTGGCCATTTCTATTACGGTATTATTATTGATTATTTCTGATTAGTTATTAATATCACATTTTTCTTTGTATTTTGTCTGTTTAATAATTATGAAAAATTTTACATTCTGGATTAGTTTAATGAAAAGTTAGTTTAAAAAAATTCTTTTAGAGGTCAACATAATTCACAAACAAAAACAATAAAATTATGAGAAAGAATTGATGGAATGAGGCTAGATTTTAAAATAAAAGGCCTTTTTAATAAGAAGAAATTGAAAACAACAATAAATTTTAATTCTACAATAAACAACTTTAGTGAACTATAAGAATGAGAGTGCAAGAATTCAGTATATATAACTATATCAATACCGAAGATGAAAGATTAATGTTGTCATTAGATAATATGACATATGAAGGAAAAGTAAACATTAAGGAAACCATTGTTGGAACGTCAAGATTTTGATGGAATATATAATAAAGTAGTTATTACATTGCATTTAACAGATTGTACTGAAATAGGTAGCCATTAAAACAAATAAATATTTTCACTATAAGGGAAATGATAAAACCTCAATAAGCAATAATTAAGTAAATTATTTCTTTGATTGACAATTGCATAATATGACAAATGTCAAGTATAGTAGTTCGAGGAACATAAGTTTTACTTCATAATCTACACTATCGATATACAAAAATTTTAGTCCAAGGACCATAATCGCCTCCAAAAAGTCCTAAGGGTCAAAACCTAGAAACATTACTATGCCAACAAATTAATATCATTAATCATGTTTAAAATTTTCATTTTCAACATGAATATTAGATATTGAGTTTCCTCAAAGTTTAATGAATAAAAATATCATTTTACTTATTAAATGATTTACTTAAACAATAGATTTTGAAATATTAAAAAAAATAAACAATTTTGGACGGAATCAATGGTGTTCACAAGATGGATTCACAGTTTAGATACCCCTGATTTATTTTCTTTTTTTCGTTAGCATAAGGCATTGCAACACCCAACATTTACTGATTTGTTTTATTGCTGAAACGTTAATACCCGTGGTTGATACTAGTACATTTCTTTATTTTATTATTTGTTAAAAATATATTTTAGAGATGGCTTAGCTGAATGAGCATTTAAAAAGCTACCTACCAGATTGGTACTAATTTGTAAGTGTCACATCTAATTTAGAAGTCAAGATAACGTCTCACTGTAGATGCAATTCAAAAGTACCCAAATGCTGACAGCTATGTTCATGATAGTCTCATTACACTTACACAAGATTCTTAAATGTGTCCTTTTTAATTAATAATCAAATACTTTCCATGTTACCACTGTACTAGGGTCACTCCACTTTGATAAGGGACCAAGATCCTTGATCACGCTGTAAATGATTCCCAAAATGGCCAGGTGACTTGAAACTCATCGGTTGTCCATATCAGTTGAAATTGAAACCATAATTAACAGTAATTCCTTTGTGCTCATGCTTGCTCAAAAGGAGTAAACAGACCTCCAGGTACTTTTCAGTTGGGCTAGTGGCCTTACCAAACAGTTTGGTCACCGTCTACTTTTGGACACAATTTGAATCTCATTTATACCATGATCATGAGGTATTGACCAATTCTCCAAAGTGGAATGATACTTGTATAGCGGTATCCCTTCAAAAATTTGTTTCTAAGATCGTTCATCTTCATAAACTTTCTGGATTATAGTTACAGTGAGACTAATGTGATCTTTAGCCACTTGTCAACTAGAGTTGACAGTTATCAACTTTAAGTTTTGTTTTGTTTTTAAATATGACAATTTCAGTAATATACTTAATAATGCACAATGGTCAACTTATCATATTGTAATATTTCAACATTGAGTGCTGTATCCATAAGTTTAGAGATTTATCAGTTGTTTATTCATGAAAGAACAATAAATAGAAGAATAATTTTATACAATTACTTTAAAAAGGGCATATTCCTTGGCGAATGGATCTTCATCATCAGCAGCAGCTACAATAGCACTTGATTCTTCATTTTTAGACTTATCATTGTCCACTAAACTGTGCAAACTCTCCTGTGTCAGATTCAAAAGTTCTTCGATGTTGTCCCTCAAACCAATCAACTCATTCTTCTCAGGACCAGAGGATGTAGCTGCTATTGTTTGATTTACTTTGTTCAACTGAAAAAAGAAAACATACACCTTAACTAAAACCACTGAGTCATATAAATCATAGGTCAGGTCCAAGCTAACCTAGATATAGTTAATAATTAACATGCCTGTTCTTTATAAACTTCAATAGACTGCCTTAGACTGTCAATATCCTCCATTGTAGCACCATGTCATTACAAAATGACAACTTTCTTTCAAATTTAATATTATGATTTATAACCTCGCTTAGAGAAGGTTATAACGATCCTTTTGACAACACTGCCTAGAAAGGATATATAACTTGTTTTTTTGGAATAAAAACTGTTAATATTCAATGTTCCTTAATAGAAAGAGTTTGAAACAGTGGCAATAACATTAAATTATATCGGTTGAATAATATGAACTTATCACTTTCTATAACTTGTCATTTCAACGTTACATATTTTTTTTAGGGAGGGGCGACAAAATATTAAATTTTCTTAATATTTTAAGTTTAATATAGTAACGATTTCAATAGTTGCAACGAAATTTCCCAAACTTCAATTTTAAAAAATCATAATCTATTTGTTTCTCAAAGAAATATGATTTTAAGATCTCTTTTGAATTTAAAAATTAAAAGTAATTTTATTTTCTATTTAAACAAAATATTGTATTCATAAAATCCCAATACTTAACCTAAACGATATTGATATTGATTTTAAAAGTTAGTAATGTTTACAGTAAAATGATTTACTACAATTTTTGCAGTTTAAAATTGCAGAATCACAAATTTTGAGACAATAAGGGCGAACAAACTGGCAAGATCGTGATAATTCTATCAAAAATCTGTGTTGTTGAGAGGAAAGGAAAAATGGAAATAAATAAATAAAAATCTCGAATTTTCCAACTTTTTAGATTTCCGAATATTGGTGAAGTGAGAGAGGATACACAGCAATGTGCCAAATCCATAAGAATGGAAACCAAAGTGGACGCTTTAACTATTGGGTGGGCAAATAAGTCCTTTCGGGTTTTCTGTTTATTTTTATGTCACTATGATACACTTCTTGTCTGATGAATTAATCCCTAAGGTGGATTGTTTATCCTGTTTGTAATACGTCAACAACTGTATCTGTTAACTCTTGTTAAAACTAGTCTTGTATTGTGTTTGCAATAGCACTGTGAATATGGAAGAAAATATCATTCATTATCGGCATATTTTGTTGTATTATTTTAAAAAAGGTAAGCGTGCAGCAGAAGCTCATAGAAAAATTTACAGTTTTTATGAGGATGATGCCTTAACTGAACGCACCTGTCGAAATTGGTTTGCCAAATTTCATTCAGGAAATTTTGACATCATTGATGCTCAACGGGCTCGTCGCCCACATGAAATTAAAACGAGCAATGTAAAGGCCATTGTTGATCAAAATCTCATCCAATCAGTGCGGGAGATTGCTATGTCCCTTAATTGTGTCGCACACAAGCGTAGAAAACCATTTTCACAAGCTCGGTTATGTTTCCAGACTTAATGTTTGGGTCCCTCACTCTCTAACCGAAGTCAAATTTGCAACACGCATTTCTGTTTGTGATTCACTACGTAAACAGCAAGAAAACTTTTTTGAAAGGGTTGGTAACAGATGATAAAAATTGATATTTGACGATAATGTAGTTCGTAGAAAATCTTGGGGGCTTAGTAGTGATGTTCTTAGAAGAATGTCAAAACCTGGATTGTATCCAAAGGAAATAATGCTTTCCATATGGTGGGTTTTATTTTCTATGAGCTATTACCATCAAGACTAACAATTGATTTAACTCTATACTGCTCAAAATTAATAAAATTGGATCAATCAATTTAAAATAAACCTCCAGAACTGGCAAATCGGGAGGGTGTTGTGTTCCATCAAGACAACGCTAGGCCACTCGCAATAAATTATTGAGCCTTGGATGGGACCTTCTGCACCAGCCTCCGTATTCACCAGACCTAGCTCCAAGTGATTACCACTTATTCCGGTCTTTGCAGAACTGCATGAATGGAAAGAAATTCCAAAAGGAAAGAACATCAAAAACCACTTGGATCAGTTTTTTAACAATAAACTCCAGACATTCTATGAACATGGCATTATGCAGTTAGTGGAAAGATGGGAAAAAGTCATATTAAATAATGATCAATATATTATGGATTAAAATAACTTTTATTTATATAATACATTGAGTTTTATTTCACCCTGAAAAACCGAAAGAACTTATAAGCCAACCTAATAAAAGCCTAACTGTCCAGAATTTACTACTCCTGTCCAGCATTTTTGTTAAAATCGCTTGGAAATCCAAGTATGCAATGGTACTTCTACCAAGTGGTTATGGTAATAGATTTCCTTCTTTTAGCTGATGCCATCGCCCTTATTTTGGTTACTACAGAAAAATAAAGGACGGTTTGCATGATACGAGGAGTCCACGAAGAAAAAGAATGCCAATAAATGTTGGAAGATTGAATCAATAAAATTTAACGCTTCATGTTGGAAGGTTGAGGACTTGCGATAGTTGCGACAAATTACAAAATAATCTGGAAAAGTTCATTAATAGATTTCTAATAGGATCTTACAGACCTATCTGATAGACCACCTGGTTCGGGATATCTCAGTATTTCACACTAATACTATGACAATTGATTTATGATAGGCTACGAAGTCAGGCTTAGATACTGATATAAAAATTTCGATGAGAGGAAAGAGGGACATATCGAATTGATGTTTAAGTGAACCATTAAGAAAAGGAATTTCAGCTAATTCAACATTTTTGACTAGGCGTGCCCATCTATTCCTCTCCAACTCCCAAGAAATTTCATTGCTTTTCTCTTCTTAAAAACAGTGTTAGTGAAAGTAAAATTATGATAATTGTATTTTATTTATAATTATCTTCGCAGTGATTCAGATTTTACGGAATTTCAATACCTTTGAGAGGGAGAAGAAAGCTCATTTTGCACTAGTATCGAACGTATTGTTTTTTATTTTTTAAATTGAGTGATTAAAAATATAGGTAGATTCATAACGAGGTATTTATTTATCAGTTCTAATCACTAGCGGATCCAGAATTTAATTTTGGGGGAGGGGAGCTTCAGCCCGAAAGATTTTTTTTTTTTATAAATCTTCATAAAAATAATTTGAAAAAAAAAATAAAGAAATTAACTATCTATATGAAATGGTGTTTAAGTGGTTCCTGAAGTCCTATTAAATGTAATTAAACGAACAAGAATACTTTAAGAGATAGTTTTTAATATTTTTTTGTGTAAATATGGTTATATTTTACCATTTTGGGGGGGGGAGGGGTGCTTCAGCCCGAAAGCTCCCCCCCCTCGTAGATCCGCCTGTGGATCTAATTGAAGTCATTCAGGCTTTGAAGCCAGAAAATTCCTGTTTATATTTCGTAATTTTTTCTGCGTTAATAAGCTTCGCTAATTATGCCTCGCGATTTACATACTTACCAGGCGATGCAAATAAACAACATTGTAGCAATAACAAAAAAGTATACCTGATGCGTGAAAAAAATTATTTAAGATTTCAAGGAAAATGATAATCTGAGATTAAAATGTAAAATGAAGTAATATAGTTAACAGCTCATGTTTTTATTTATATAAAGGGCAAGTAATCGAAAATTATTCCATGTGTTATAAGTCTAGGATTTGTATGAAAATAATTTTTGGAATAAGAGAGCAGGTAAACGTTTTAGATAAGATTTGGAGACACTCGACACAGATTTAAACTTTAAAACACGTAAGAGTATGAAGTTCATCAGTTATTAAACTCAATGAGCTAGGCAAAATGGATCTTGTCTAAATTTCTGATTTTTTTTAACTTGTATATATACGGAAGAGGGTAGCTGAATGGTAGGGCACTGTGCTTCAATGCTCAATCAAGGTTCTAAGTTCGAATCTCGGCTCATGACAGAGGGTCATGAGACCCTCCTGGGACAAAGCCACCCTCTATAACGTGAGTAATCTTAATTAAATAATTAATTATGGGGAAACGGGGTGGTTAAACGTGATCTCAATCAAATCACCTTGCACAACCATTGATTTTAAAACAGATCTTTCCCTAAATAGTACTGGATCCAAGACCCTTTATGGTTTTTTATTTATTTATTTTTATTTTTTAACTTTTGTATAAGGGTTGAAACTTAAAAAACAAAATAGCTAAGGCAAGCAACTAAGGGAAATTTTTTCACGGCCAAACATCCAGTTTGTTTTGATTTTTTTTTTCACCTATAACTCCTAAACTGAGCATCGAAGAGTTAAAAAAGGCACTTCTTGAGAAATTAAGGAAATAATTTTTTTTAGAATTTTTTTTTTATTTTTATTTTTTATTTAGACATATAATATTCTGTCTCGTGGACAATGATTATATTGATAAATGAACAAAATCACACCATATATACAGAAAATATAAAATTAAAAAAAGTAAAATAATAACTAAATAATAATAAAAAATTATGTATGATAAAAAATAAAATAACCTAAAGATAAGTAAATTAAAAACACAGTCATAGCTATATACAATAAATACAATCAGGCAGGGAACCCAAAGCCAGGCTTCTCCCTCTAACTATAGATGAAAAAGCAGCTCTAACAGATCCCTGCGCTACTCTCTCAACCAAGTCACTGCTGATGAAGCCGGTATAGTTTGAGCGAGAGCACTTTAGCCACATACATTCATCTCTTGAGTGGAGAATCTGGCCATTGCCAGAACTCTAAGATATATACTATAAAAGATCTCTGGGCCACAACCATCGAGGAGGATTGTAAGGATGAGTGGACCTATATAGAGATTGTGCTAGGGGATTTGGATGGTTGATAAGGTTCTGATGGAATTTGGAAAATTTTTGGGGGATAATGTCAAGGACAAAGGGGATATTAAGGTCATGGTGTAGGGTTTCGTTGGTTACGCAGAACGGAGCATCGACTATTGTTCGGAGGATTTTGGATTGAAAGGATTGGATGCGTTTGATGTTAGAAAATTTTGCTGTTCCCCAAAGTTCAAGTCCGTAGGTCCAAATAGGTGATTGATTTTAGAAATTAAAGAAATTTACGAATGAGTAGTAAATTGTGCATCGTACGAGTACCTATGCTTAATAATTTGGTTATGTGGTATAGCAGACCACGGTCAAAGAACCAAATTTGTCCAAAAATTACTGGAAATGGCCCTGCAACTTCGAAATGAGTTATCTAAGAGCAAAAATTAGTGGAATTAAAGTTGTAGAGCATTAAATTGTGCGTCCACTAACTACCAACATTTTTAATGTAAGTCAATCATTTCTCTCGAATCGGTATTCCTCATTTATTCGTAAAATTCGTTTTTTTTTTTTTTTTTTAGAAACATGGTTTCATCAAAACCCTTTGCTCCTGAGAGGTAGAAAAGCGGCGTTCGCTGCATATAAGAGATTATAAAAAAGAATAACTAAATAGAATAAAGACCCATATTGTTGGGATATTGAAAATTATAGATACCTTCATCACCAATTTCCAGGCATCGGGAGATTACCAATTTCAAGGGAATTAAATGACCAGCATTAAAACTGTTGGCACAGGCGGATCTACGGGGAGGGGCTTTCGGGCTGAAGCCTTAAAGTATAAAATCTCTTAAAGTATAGATTTTAAAAAGGCTTACGATTCTATTGACCGCCAGAAACTGTATAATATTCTAATCGAGCAGGGGATTCCAAAAAAACTCCTAAATCTAGTCAGGATGTGCTTGACGGAGACACTCAATAAAGTTAGAATCGGTGATAATTTGTCCGAAAAATTTGAGGTTCGTTCGGGCTTAAAACAGGGGGATTCTCTTTCGCCTGTCCTGTTCGATTTGGCATTAGAACATGCCATTAGGGAGGTAATGCGTACCGAGAAAGGGTTGGATCAGGGCGGGACAACATCCGTACTGGGCTATGCTGATGATCTGGTACTGTTAAGCGAAGACGTTGAAACTATAAAACTGAATACGACAACGTTAATGAAAACCGGGAAAGAACTAGGACTCGAAATAAACGTGGATAAAACAAAATATATGGTTAGCTGCAAAAATGGCGATACTACTGGTGATATCGATATACATGGTAACATGTTTGAACAGGTAGATAAATTTAGGTGACTGTTGGTACTTAGTGGAAGCACGATTTGATACTCACTTTGATTCTACGAGTTTTTTTCTTTTAGGGAAGTCATTTCCAAGCTTCAGGACCATTTCTAGTCATTTATCTCAGTTTTTGATATATTAATAAGTTTATGTAATTGTTTGACGTACATTTAACGTACAATTCAACGTTTCTTAATTTTTTTTAATCAGTACATTTTTCGCTTCGATGAACCGTTTAGGAGGTGAAGGCGAAAAAAACATAAAAATATGGCTTTCTTGGTTATAAAAAGTTTGGTTATAATATCCATTGAATCAGCCACCATTTTTGAAAGCAGCGGCTCAGGAATGGCAGATAAGATTAATTTTACTTTGAATGACACACACTTTCGTAATTTATATTCAAACCTTCGCCTGCGATGCCGTCACTTTTTGGACTCTGGGTCACTCCATGGCCTTTAGTTACTAATGCATTTAAATAAAAAAAAATAAAGACAATATGCTTAAAACTTTCTTACAAAAGAAATGACTAAACCAAAAAGATATTTGCTAAAAGATCCTTATATTATTAACGTAAGTTTTTCCATCATTTTGGATAATTAAAAGAATATTACCTCCTAAAGATACGTACTTACCATACGACCAAAACAAAGAAAAAAGTTTTAGTCACCCATTCATCGGAATTCCAAGGTTAGCATATTAAAAATGCTTCACACATCCGCACACAATGCAGTTCTAACATATGCACGCGTGCGCACAGGATATTGCCAATTGAAGAGAATTCGCTTAATGTGTAGAACCTTCACTTTAATTATAATAAATCTTCTTTTCCACTAATTGAATAATAAGAAGAAATATTTCAAAATAATATAAACTTTTGGAAAATAAATATAATGATGTGGACTCAATGGTCCTCTTAAAATCAGTAGACTACATCATGCACCACTAAAATAATAGTTTAATGAAAAACATATCTCAATTTATATACAAATTTTTAGTTACTTTCGTATTTCATTGTATTTTAGTATTAGGAGAGTAGGAGATAACAGGAGCTCAACTTATTAGACGATTATTTTATAAATTATACAGCAGTTCATTTAATTACGTACGTGTTAAGCTTCTGTTACCTCCTACTCTTCTAATACAAAATAAAGATTTTAAACTTAGAAATAAACATTTGTACGGGAAATGTTTTTTTTTATGTTCATAAAAAAATTGTTTTGTTTTTATAAAAAATAATTCAATCTGAAATATAGAATACATGTAAATTAAAGTTATACAATTTGAGCAACGAGTATTACAAATGAACAGCTGTATAATTTGTAAAATAGGGGTTGGTCTGCTGTGAAGCAAATATATATAATTTTAGTAAATAAATATTATTAAGACCCTACATAGGTTGTAAGCGTATGTAGAGAGAGGGCTTGTAGATATATAAAGCTACAAAGCCACTCAATTTATAGTATTTATAGTCTTAAGACATGAAATAATAGTTAGTTACCGCATACCTGTGGATTTCAAGTCGAAAAATTCAGTTTATGATTCAAAAAGTTTACGTTTTTCGCATACATCAGTGAAACTAGGCGTTCGATCTATATTAATGTGACTGTAAAATTGAAACTGACAAAATTTTCAATAGAATTGGTTATATTAAATTTTTCGCTATATTCTATAGTTTCCGCGATATCCATCCTCGTAATACATTAATTCCTAAAAAAAAAAATATTTTACATCACATTTTTATCATTATTTGACCCGCCAACTCTTTATTTTTTCTCTTTATTTCATCGAAAGCTCGTGACTTCCTGTCCTACAATATCCTTTAATAATACTCCACTTATCCCTGTAGAAAAAATCTAATATTTAGGACTCCACTTGAACAAGCGTCTCACTTGGAGTCCTCATACAAAAATGAAACTACAAGAAACCGCTCGACGTTTCCTACTACTCCAGCACTTACTAGATAAACTGTTTACACTTTCACTTAATTACAAAAGACTCGTATATATGACTGTAATGCCAATTTGGATTTTCGGAATTGAGCTTTGGGGCTCAACTAAGCCACCGAATTCCTCTCGTATCCAATCCTTACAATACAAAATTCTACGTAAAATCCTTAATGCTGCTTACTTTTTCACAAATAAAATCATCCATAAAGACCTTAGCCATCCGAACCCTCTCGTTTCTAACCTAACTTCCCCTTTGATCCCAGATAACCCTCCTAGGCGTCTGAAAAGGAGATAGCCTCGGGATCTCATATTTTAAATACATTTTTAGAGTGCTACTAGTAGGTAGTTTCTCAACAAGTGTTTTCATGTCATAATTCCCTGTTATCACATTTACTGAATGTATTTTTGTGTATAACAGAGTTGTAAATATCATGAATAAATGAAAAAAAAGTTTTTTTAATAATTCAAAAATATACATATATTGGAACATTTCAGATGCTCGTGTGAAGACACTTGAGCTATTTAAAAACTCTTCGGGGGACAGCAAAATTTTGTAACAACAAACGCATCCAATCCTTTCAGTCCAAAGTCCTCCGAACAATAGTTGATGCTCCGTTCTATGTAACCAACAAAACCCTGCATCATGATCTTAATATCCCATTTGTCCTTGACCTTATCCCTGAAAATTTTTCCAATTTCCATCAGAACCTTATCAACCATCCAAATCCCCTAGCACAATCCCTATCTAATTCCACTCATCCCTACAACCCTCCTCGATGGTTGTGGCCCAGAGATCTTTTATAGTATATATCTTGGAGTTCTGGCAATGGAAATGTCTTGAGTGGAGACATGAGTGTATGTGGCTAAAGCGCTCTCGCTCAACTCCACCGGCTTTAGCACCAGTGACGCGGTTGAGAGAGTAGCGCAGGGATTTGGGTTCCCTGCCTGATTGTATATAGGTATGAATGTGTTTTTAATTTACTTATATTTAGGTTACTTTATTTTTTTATTGTACATAGTTTTTATTTATTATTATTAAGATCATAGGATCGAATCCCGGTCCTACTTCCCAATATGGCTAGTTCCCGCGGAAAGTTAGACCATTACCCTCTTAATTGGGGAGGCCTACAAGTTGTTGAATACTTGTAAGAACAGACTAGGAAAAGAAAAAAAAAGTTATTATTTTACTTTTGTTAATTTTATATTTTCTGTATACATGGCGTGTTCATTTATCACTATAATTATTGTCCAAGTGATAGAATATTATATGTTTAAAAAAAAAAAAAAAATAATAAAAAAATTACGAGCTAAAAAAAAACTACATTAAATTCAATCCATCAGTTAAATCCAATTTCATTAATTAGGATGTCATATCAAAATCATGTAATTTATTTTTGATACTGAGCTTGTTTTATTTATTTTAATTTTACAAGATAACGATCCTTTATCATTTCCGACGTGATAACGATTTGAAACCAATTTCAACTTTACAGCAGATTTCAAACCAATCTTTTTTAAATAATGGAGAATTCAACAATGCAATTTCCCATATTTACTAAATTAAAGATACGTGCTATAAAAAAAAAAACACGTAGCTATTATGTATTTGGTTTGAATCAGGACAATCAGAAGGAAATAATGTTAAAGATAATTGCAAAGAGCTTATTTCGACAAGCCTATTATCCTGGGAACAATAAACAAAAGAAAAAACCAGGACGCCGCGAGCTTCTGGATAACAGATCGCGTGGTGGGGCAGGACTTGAGTCAGTTTACCGCAGATCTTCTGCCTGAGTGCACGGGCTGCATTTCCACAGAGGAGTCGTTTGTCCCCGGCTTATATCAGACTAGAGGTGAGTCAATAGTATATTATATTAAATATATTAATATATCGTAGTCAATATCATATAGAATATATTAATATATCTACGTAGGTCATTTTCCATATAAATGTGCCAATTAAGAATTCATAGTTCGCGGTGTAGGGCCTTTTTATCAAATCATTAACATTCGCCTAATACTTCGTGGATAGCTTCATCATATTATTACCTAAAATTTTCAAGAAACAAAAAACTCATAAACACCCTTTGGTTTATGCACTTGAATCCTAAGATAATTTGATCATAAAATTAAAAAAAAAAAAGAAAGAAAAAGAAATATTAACATCTCTTTTTAGAGAATTATTAACATCCGCCTGAAAATTTGTAAATAGTTTAATCTCATCGTAACCTACAACTGTTTTATTTACGAAAACTCTTGCAATTGGGGCGCTTTCAATCTGGAGGGTGGAAAACATTGTTTATTTAATTAAATACTAAAAACTCGTAAATACCCATTTGCTTTCTACTTGGATCGTAAGGTAATTTGATCACAAAGTCGAAAAAAAAAAAGGTGACCTACAAAAGTATTGGGCCATTTGGCCTAAACAACTTCGTTATTTTGAAATGTTGGGAGAGGTGGTCACGCCAAACGGCTAAATATTTTTGTAGGCCACTTTTATTCTACATTTTGTTATCAAATTATCTTACAATTCAAATGGATATCTACGAATTTTTTGTACCTAATTAAATAGACAAACTTTTAAAATCGGATCTTTGCCACGGACTATTAGATTTTTATAAAGTACAATGTAAAATAAATTATTTTTTGTTGTGTTTTTTAAATTGCATGTAATCGTCGACCGAGTATATAAAATATATTAATATATCGTTGTCAATATCATCTAGAATATATTAATATATCTACGTAGGTCATTTTCCATATAAATGTGCCAATCATAGTTCGCGGTGTAGGGCATTTTTATCAAATTATTAACATCCGGCTTATATTTCATGAATAGCTTCATCATATTGTTACTTACAATTTTTTTATCTAAAATTTTCAAGAAACAAAAATCTCATAAATACCCAGTTCTTTACGCACTTGAATCGTAAGATAATTTGTTTATAAAAGAAAAGAAAAGGAATTGGTGACCTACAGAAGTATTGGGCCATTTGGGCCTAAACAACCTCGTTATTTTGACATGTTGGGAGAGGTGGTCACGCCAAACGGCTAAATATTTTTGTAGGCCACTTTTATTCTACATTTTGTTATCAAATTATCTTACGATTCAAATGGATATCTACGAATTTTTTGTACCTAATTAAATAGACAAACTTTTAAAATCGGATCTTTGCCACGGACTATTAGATTTTTATAAAGTGCAATGTAAAATAAATTATTTTTTGTTGTGTTTTTTAAATTGTATGTAATCGTCGACCGATTATATAAAATATATTAATATATTGTAGTCAATATCATCTAGGATATATTAATATATCTACGTAGGTCATTTTCCATATAAATGTGCCAACTAAGTAATCATAGTTCGCGGTGTAGTGCCTTTTTATCAAATCATGAACATCCGGCTTATACTTCGTGAATAGCTTCATCATATTGTTACTTACAATTTTTTTATCTAAAATTTTCAAGAAACAAAAATCTCATAAATACCCAGTTCTTTACGCACTTGAATCGTAAGATAATTTGTTTATAAAAGAAAAGAAAAGGAATTGGTGACCTACAGAAGTATTGGGCCATTTGGCCTAAACAACCTCGTTATTTTGACATGTTGGGAGAGGTGGTCACGCCAAACGGCTAAATATTTTTGTAGGCCACTTTTATTCTACATTTTGTTATCAAATTATCTTACGATTCAAATGGATATCTACGAGTTTTTTGTACCTAATTAAATTGACAAACTTTTAGGAAGGGATCTGTACCACGGACTATTAGATTTTTATAAAGTACAATGTAAAATAAATTATTTTTGTTGTGTTTTTGTGTGTTGTGTTTAAATTGTATGTAATCGTCGACCGAGTATATAAAATATATTAATATATCGTATTCAATATCATCTAGAATATATTAATATATCTACGTAGGTCATTTTCCATATCAATGTGCCAACTAGGTATTCATAATAGACGGTATTACCTTTTTATCAAATCATTAACATTCGTCTTATAATTCGTAAATAGCTTCATCATTTTTTTTTACCTAAAATTTTCAAGAAACAAAAAAAATTGAAAAGGTACCAGTTTGAGAAGTTATGAAGTTCCACCCAAATCACATGAATGGCATAGTTAAAGTTTTATAAGAGAGAATATGGTTGTGTATAGACTAAAGTAACATAAAATCAACCACCTATTGTGCGAAGTTTGAAAAATATTGAGCCGTTTGGCATGACATACACCCCCAAATTGTGGAAATAACAAGGTTATATAGGCCCAACGACCAATATTTTTGTAGGACACATTTTTTATCGATTTTGTGATCAAATTATCTTACGAACCAACCGGAAAGGAAATTGGTATTTATGAATTTTTAGTATCTAATTAAGTTCGCCGAACTCCAGATTGAAAACGTCCAAAATCAAAGAGTTTTCGTAAATAAAATAGTTGTAGGTTACGCTATTCATGAAATTTCAGGAGAATGTTAATAATTTGATAAAAAGGGATCTGTACCACGGACTATTAGTTTTTTATAAAGTACAATGTAAAATAAATTATTGTTGTTAATATTGTTTGTTGTGTTTTCCAAATTATTCCAATATTATTGTTGTTAATATTGTTTGTTGTGTTTTCCAAATTTTACGTAATCCTCGACCGAAGGACGTATCACATTTTGATTCATCAGTTTTTCTTTTATCACCGGCCACGGTTTTGATGATTTATTGTTTTTCTTTATTGACTTATTTTTTATAGGCAATACTTAATGTAACAAGAAGGTATCCATTTAAAAAGTGCTAATTTAAACCTTTTAAGTGCGTATAAGCCAAGAACTTTACTTAATAAGTTCTTAAGTGTTTAGTACCAATTAAATAGAAAAAATTGCCGAACTCCAGATTAAAAAAAAAAAAACGAATTCAGAGAATTGTCGTAAATAACAAAAGTTTTAAGTTAAGATGAAATAAAGCTAGTCATGAAGTTTTAAATATATAAAACTAAATTTTATTTAGGGGACCTCAAAACACCTTTTTCCGTTGAAAACTGAGATTCGAAAATTTTCATGATCGCAATACTTACCCTTACTATATATTACATATATACGTAAGTGAAAGTAAAAAAAATTAGTTAAAAAAAAAGTAAACTATTATCTTCTTTAATTTTCTGCAGAAAATCAAACTATAGTTTACGTAAACCTTTTTGTGGGCCTGATTGAGATCTACCATCACTGCTATAAATATTTCCTTTTACATACGGAAAACCCTGTATAAGTAACATGAAGCTTTCTTTTTAAAAAATAGATAGGCATATTGTAATTTAAATATTGTCCGAGACCTAAATATGTAAAAGTAGACTTTGATTGCAACAAATGTTTTAACTGTATTAAATTTGCAAAAAAAAAAGATAATAATTCGGGCCAAGGTTCGATTCCTAACAAGGAAGGGTGTGGAGGTCTTTTTTTATTTTAATTGACATGCGATAAGTACAATATCTAGTTTATCTACTTTCCTACCCAATCTAGACAAAATTAGATCATTATAAATATGAACTTTTAAAGCAATCTAAATGTGCGTTTAGACATTCCACAAAATATAGGAAACAGAATTATCTAACTTAATTATCAGCGACATTATTGCTAAACCAAACTATTTATTTTATTTCTCTTATTACCGATAACTTTGATGGCACTATCAGAAACAAGAAACAAAACACTTCCATAGAGAAAAAACTATTTAAATATTCGTATTTTCCATAGTTTGTGAAATGTCTAAACACACCTTTATAATAATTTTTTAAATAAATATCCCTATCCCCATCCCTACCTATATTATTACAGTAAGGCTCGAAATCGGTTTTGTACCAAATATAAGCTCCTGCTCAAATACCATGAATGGGGCACCGTTGAATTCATAATTTCACGGGAGGTTAGCGAATCGTATTCTCCGCTTTTGTTTTTCTTTCTAAAATAAATAAAGTCGATACAAACATTTTGCTAGTCTTCAATACTGGAGCAGTGGTACGTCTGTAGATCGATGCGGGAGAAATTGGACCTTGAAGATTTTGATGCGTACAGCAAGACCCGGATAGTTCCTCCAAAACTAACCGATCCTGCGTTTTTAACCCCAAAAACGTACTATTTTCGAGATAACACAAGGCATGGGGTTCGCGTCCACACAACTTGACGTTAATTGTAGTACTGGCATTAGATACATGTCTCATTTCGTCGACTTGAGGTCTCTATGATCGAGACAGGAGGAGTTTATATTATTTATCAATGGTGTTTTTGATCGGCAAGCCATATCATCGTTAATTCTTCACCAAATCTCAAGATTGAGCCACCAATTTCGAAGGCTTCCTTCTCCTTCAGGCGGGCAAAATAGTCCAATCATCCCGAAAATTCAGGCAAACAAGTTATGAAAAAAAAGAAACTTTATTTGCGAATAACTAAAAAATTACACACTTTCCCCTGGATTATGCCCATGATTATATAAAACATTACTAAATTTTCTATAAAAGGAAAAAAAAATCATTGAAATCGGTCAACTTTTCGCATAGATACAGCTTATTGAAATTTGTAAATATGTTGGTTCCAAACAAAAATGTAGATTTAAATTAATTTTGTTTCCTTTTTCGATTATGTTTCTTGATAAAGTAACAATTGATTACTTTATCTTTTGATACGTTGCATTATTTTATTTTCTTATTAATTTGGAATTTGATAACAATATGCTGTGCGAATTTTTCGCACGGGCCTACCAGTCTTTATTATTCTAAGAGATGTATAGTTTTCGATTTATTCGGAAAAAAAAATAAATAAAGAGATTTCTATGGAAACCTGCATAAAGTAAAAAACATGGATACTAGTT